TCTGTAAAGATAGTTGGCCATGCAGCTTCTGTGACTACTCACGAAGGGTTCGACTGAACAATGATGACTGGTGTGTCGCTGACATAGCTGTGCCTCATGCTCGGCTAAATTTACATCATTCTTTGGAAATGTTTGGGGGCTGGACAAACTCATGAGTTCTTAGGGTAATGGTTTTGTACATAACTTTTCCCGGAGTTGGGTTTAGTATAAGTGGAGCATGTCTATCTAGTATCTACCGAGAGGGAGCCTGCTGTGCTGGGAGCAGTTTCACAACGTGCTGGTGTATCGTGTGATTCCCCAGATACCCCGAAAAGATAGTACAACAGCCCTGCATTCCCCTTGCTGGGAAGTTTTGTTTATGAGACAAATTCTTCGTTTATGCGATGAACTGACTTTATTTGTGACATCTGAATTGCTTGTAGATCTTCTTATTGATCAAAATGCATCGCTAGATAGTGCAGTATGTGCAATTTTGCATGTTCTGTTTACCTGTCCTGCTCCTTTTGGTTCAAGATATTCAGTGGAACTAATATTTTTGTTCTCCATTGGTTATGTCAATGATATGCATTGCCCTGCAAGTTGTTTGTTTTCTTTGTCGAGTTTCGATTTTTATGGTTTGTGCTCAAGTCGGGAAGGGCTTACCTACACCAGGGGCGCCACTTTACGTAAATCTCTTTCGTTCGAGTCAGGTGGATATCTAGTTAATCAAATGTTCAAAAAATCATGATGCATTCGCCCTGTTCTTTTCTTGAAAATGAAATAAGGATCCTTAGCTACAATGAGAATCTATCCCTTTTCTGGTGTAGTTATTTTATTATCCAATTGACTGGAATATGTTCAATGCTATCCATACCTTATCAAACTAAATATACGGATTTGATATGCATTCTTAACAAATTACAACTTTTATTTACATTCAAAACAAACCTTATAAATAGCACCCAAACAAGAGGGAGAGAACCCAGTTTTAAATCATGCAGATATACGCAGCGATCGGAAGAAAAATGCGTCGTGCCTTCGGGTTTCCGCAGCAGCAGCAGAGCTACGGCATGCGCCAAGAGGTTCAAGAGAGCAGCTACTCCATGCACAAGGAGGCAGCTTGGGACTCAAAAGATGACTATCACTATCACAGCAACCATATTTCAGGTGTGCCAATTGTGCCTTCATTACTCCTCGACTCTCAGTTCATAAAGCGAAATTCCATGTTTGACGGGAGGCAGGTTCTGCAGCTGCATGGCGGCAGCTGGCGTGCTGAAAACACAAACCAATACAGATGGTCTGGCCAAAAGTTACTTCCCGAGTTTTCACTTGGTGCTGGTGGTGCTATGAACTTCAACACTGCATTAATGGAATTGGAGAATGCTGAATATGAAGCTAGTTTCCAGGAGGTGCATCGTCTTCCGGCAACGATGAGAGTGCAGGAAACCAGATACGAGCGCAGGATATGGGGTGACTGTGATGAGGATCATGGCCTTCAGTACTGCCATGGATTTGATGACAATGTGAGATGCAAACGCAATGGGGTCTGGAAAGCTGAGTGGATATCAAAGGGAGCTTAAAAAGATAAGTGTCAAGTCATTGCAAACTTCTCTGCACTGATGTTTTAGGGTAACAATGTACCGAAATGTCCAAAACTATAAATAAAAAGCTTTAATTTAGTGTTGGTGTTGGCATTCTGTTGATGAGGTAGACAGCAACTTGACAAGCAAAGGACCAAAAGTTTGGAGGCAATGAGGCAGTTTGTAAAAGGGTTATAGCTATTTCAACAATGTGTCTATACTTCCTTTCAGCTAAGCCATTTTTTTCAAGGGTATATGGACATGATAGTTGGTGTTTAATACCCTTATTCAAAAGAAACTGTTGAAATGGCTTGCTAATATATTCACCTCCTCCATCACTTTGTAATGTTTTAACAGAAATGGCAAAATGATTCAACACAAAGTTGTAAAAGCTTAAAGAGTAAGCAACCTTGCTAGATATATACCTTTGATAACTGCCATTGTAATTAGTTAAGAAAAAAACTGTTAATGAAAAACACCTTTCTCCGTCTAATCTCTCTCTCTCTCTCTCTCTCTCTCTCTCTCTCTCTGAATTCTTCTGCAAGAATACAATTTTTCATCTTTGCTGTTACATTTACATGGTATCATTCGCCAGAAGAGCTTGGTTACAATTACAACCACAGGATCACAAACTGTTAAGCTTGGTATACTGTTATCAGATCCTATGCCTAATAGGTTCATTACTCGTACCCAACATATACCAAAACACCATGTGAAGTTCAGCGATGAGTATGTGGATCGTGTTGCTGAAGCACCAAGGACAACGAGGAGGGCACCCGTGACACATTATGTGGCTCGTGACCAGATGGAGGATGTCGACGAGGAAGCTGAGGAGTTCATTAAGTTTGAGCACAAGAAATTCCTCGTGAACCAGCAAAGCATGAGAAATGATTAGGCTCAAACCCCCTTGTTTATATCCAAGGTTAATTATTATATATAGTCCTTTATAAGTTACCAACTAAATAATGTAAAAGCGATCAGATTGCTTTTGACATTTGTACCTCAGATTTGGTATGTACTGCTAATGATTTCTTATAGATGAAATTACAGCTTTAAGTTTGTACTGATCTGTGTTAAGGTTTTTTTACTCTTCCTCTTTCCATCCATTTCTATTTTTTCTTATTTAACCAACTGCAATATGAATAAATTTATGTTTCGTTGTCAAATTGCTAATCTAAATTATCGACCCAACATCATATTATTTTGTAAAAATAAGAATTTGGCAGAGCAAAAGCGAATCATCATGGTGCAGACCTAACTTTCTGATCCATTCCAAGTTCCAACCCTAGCATATTTATTCCTTTTGTATATTGTGCATTTTTTGAGGTTCGAAGATGCGTTTCTTTTTCTGGTGCAAGTTCCAAGTTTATGCGACATAAGTCACAGAACAAATATCTATGAAAATAAATTAGAAACCAAAGCCAACCATTCAAATTAATTAGTTGATGCAGTTCAGATCAGAATCTAATCCGACAGTGTTCTTCCTCCATACCTAATAAACGTTGCCTTTTTGGTATGTGATGTGATACCACCCCAAGGTTGCTGATTTTTATCTACTCGAGTTTCAATTCTTGAATAGTAATGTTATTCATACCATGTTTTTATATTATATTTTTATACCACCTTAGGTGACATCTAATGTGGACAACCACATCATTTAAAAAATTTGCAAAACCCAAGGAAATGAAGGAGAAAGACTCCTCCTATATCACAATCATTATTTAATTAACTAGTTTTTCTTAATTATTAGTTTATTAAGTAATGAACTAAATTTAAAAATCTGATTAATTCAATGATGTGAATGTCCACATCAAATGTCATCTAAGATAGTATGAAAATGTGATACAAAAACATGGTATGAATAACATTACGCATTCTGAGTTGAATGGCAAAATTCTAGAGAGTACGCATGATATTGTTAATTTAATAACAAGATATGCGTTCGGTTGAAAAATTCAAGATAATCAACAAATGTATTTAACATATTTGAGCCACTTAAAATTCAGAGTTATGTTTATTTAAGAGAAATAAGAGAAATGAGGAATCATAAAACATAGAAATAAGGAAAGTAAGAAAAAGAATTGTATCAATCTTCTCTTAATTAATCTGATTTCTGACTTCTTGTACATATTTCAATGAGAAAATCACATAAATCTTTAAAATACAGAAGTAAAGAAAATCAGATCAATTTTCTTCTAATTGATCTGATTTCTAATAATTTTTAAATATTTGAATTACATATGTATTAACCAACACAAAATGTCAAACAATTTTTTTAATAAGCATAAAAAACTCAAGAATCAAAATAGTTTTAATTTCTATACTCGATAAGTAAGCATGCATGTGTCATTCTATGGTTTAGTTAGTACAGTATAAATAGATTTATAGTAGAAAAAATCCAAAAGAAGTTTAGAAGATAATTACTTTGAACTAAAAGTTCTCAAGAAAAAACTAAATAAATAAAAATAGAAGTTACTAAACCGAAAAAAGCAAAAAGGAAGGCATCAAATATTATTTTTTATAAAAGAACTTACTTTTCTCAAGAGAAAAAGTAAAAACATGTCTCTTTTTCAAATGGCTCAGAGACCATCTCAAGAGGATATTGTCTAACAACCAAACTTATACTTTAAATAGTCAAATTAAAAAAAATTCGACTCTAAAAAATATTGTAGAAAAATCTTTATTATAACAAAATGAATAATCATTCTTTAAATTTAAATATCAACTACTTACTTGATAAATATTGAAAAAATAATAAAATTCAATAGTGAACCATTGAGCAAGAAAAAAAGGAAAAGAGAGAAGGTTGTTTTGAAAAGAGTGATGCCAGGAGACTAAATTTGGTAAACTAATTGATATGAAAATTGATAATTAAATTATTACGTAAATGATGTTGTTGAATATTAAAAGTAAGTGGTTTTGTTGAATATTAAAAGTTAAATTGATTGGTTGAAATAGTTTGTTTTGAGACTCTTCACTTACGAATTTAACAGAAATTTTGAAATTTCTCTTGAAAATGCTCTAAATTAGACATGCCGAATTCTTGAAGACATGCTAACACCCACTTTTTTTTTATGTGCTAGTAAATACTTTAGACCCACGTTATCGATAAGTTTTTTAATTTGTTAAAAACACGGCTCAATATAACAAATCTCATAATATATGTTAGTTTATTAAAAACACGGCTCAATATAACAAATCTCATAATATTCATGAAAATGTATAACTTGTACGACCACATATGATGTCCCGAGCCATTTTTAATATGTTGCAATCTTTGAGTGTACCGCACCGTATTAAGAATACGATAAAAGAAGCTATCCAATTTATCCAATTCCCAATCCCCAAGTCCCATACTTTTTCTGCCTCCTGCAGATGAAGATTTGGTTGCAGAAAAGAAAACACACGCCAATAGATAAACCAAAACCCTAAAAAAATGGATGCTCCAATTCCTTCCTTTATTTTTTATCTTTTAATCCTCTTGGTACTTGGACGCACACACAAATAAACCAAGGGGTAAACACTTTTTCTAATTTGTGCTAAAAATAACAAGATAATATAAGCAAAAAAAAGTACAGCTGATGAACCCAAAACTCCATAACACACAAACCTCAAAAACCAAAAAACCCTCATCTTTTCAGTCAATGGAGCGGCAAAGAGGGCAAGTTGTACGGTGGTTGTGGTCGAACCACTTTTCCAGACAACCTTTGTGGAAGAAGTGCTTGCAGGACAACTCACTCACTTCTTGCTCTGCTTCGAACCCACAGAGACAGACACAGCACTGTGTTTTTCCCCCGTTTCTGCAGAAAGATTTAAACTGTGTTATGGAGATTCTTCTCTCTCTAGAAATTTCCTCAGGACACCCATCTGAGTTCTCTTCGAAAGTGTGGGAATTGATATTGGCACGCATCACTTGAAGCACAGATCTTGCCATGTTTTTTAGCAGAGCCACGGAAAAAACTGTGTTCATTACTAGCAATGGCAGCACGCCCTCTGCTGCACTTGGGAAATTCGAGAGCCCCATTTGAGACAGTGCTTCTGCTATTTTCTTAAGAGAGGAAGAGAGAACACGCAAGCCACAAGCCACAAGCCACAAGCCAAAAACTAAAAGCTGGGAATGGTTTTAACCATGGGCTTACGTTTTACGTTGGGCTTTGCTGCTGATAAATACGCATGGGCACTTAACATTGTTAACCGTGGTTAGATGGGGGTTGGGTTCAGTTTTAACCACGGTTCGGTGGCCACGGATGCAAACGTGGCGACACGTGTAGGGTTTTGGGAGAGACAGTGACTTGGTTGTTATACAAGGGTGAAAACAGCAAGGGCAAGAGAGAACTGACATTTTCACTGGCACAAAAAGGATAAATTTGACGTAGCAACGTGTCGGCGGGAGGTTCTGTGAGAGCCAATGAGGTGGTGGTGTCTTGTGCGCCGTGGCAGATTTGGAGACCTTTCAGTTCTTGTGTCATTGTGTGTGTGTGTGTGTGTGGGAACTGGAAGTTTCTTAATTCCCGGAGGAGGAGCTGAAAAATAATATGGCGGTAGCATGCAAAGCCAGCTCAAAGGCAATGCAAACTAGGCATGTGCATTCAGTCAAACTGATTCAAGCCGCATTCATATCTTATGTTACGTATGTACAACAACAACAACAACAAAATTATCATATTAAAAACATGTCGTTTGCATCAATCTTATAATATAACTTCATTTGTTTTTACGTCAAGTTTTTTTTGTTAGTTCTAAATACTTTATTTTTCGTATAGTTTATTTCCAAGTCTAATTCATTGTTTTCTAACAAAATAAAAGGAAAAGGATTTTCCTAAATCTAATATAATGTCCTCAATTTTTTACTATTTTAGAGATTGTTAGTAGATTAGATTGAAATTTTTTCTAATTTTACTATTAAAGAAAAATATTTATATCATGATATGGAATTAGGAAGATTTGGTTGCGTTTCGTCCGACAACTCTCTTGTAAATATAATAGAGAATATGATTCTTTCTCCTCTAATTATCCGTCCTGCCAGTTCCTTTTTATTTGAATAGTTAAGTCACATCTATATCTTTATTGACTTCTTTGTATATAAAATAAAAAAAAACAAAGATGAAAATTTGAGAGAAAGTGACAGAAAGAAAGAAAATTTGAGAGAAAGTGACAGAAAGAAAGAAAATTTTAACAGTGCTCGACGAGGTGATAATCAGTCTGAAAAGCGAGGGTTGTGTCGGTTTGATGCACATGTAACGTAATAAATAGTAATGGTGTGATTCTGATGACTGAGTGATTGATATCTAGCTTTCTCTCTCTAGGAACCAAGCGAGTGGTCCACCTTTTTGTGACTCAAAAATCATCTTCCCAAAACCAGAAAACAAAACTTGGTTCGATTAATACCGCCACAGCTATGGCTGCTTGCTTCCACACAGGCAGTTGGCACTGTATGTTTCTAATTGTTTGTGCAGTTGCAGTGAAACATCACATTCATCAGCTGCGGGATTCTTGGCAAAAAGATGAATTGAAAACCACCAGAATATAAAAAATATCAGGATACTTGACGTTATTGCAGCATGTTTTCAAAGATTGTTGGCGATTCAGAGATGTTCCTAACTTCGATGCTTGCTAGATGCCTACTATTTAGAGAAATGTGCCTAACTTGGAGAAACCAGATTCATGTAACCGTTTTCATATCTCTAATCGGAGAGACAGAGACACAATACACTTCCGGAATGTTAAAGTAATCTCTTCTAATACCATGAAGAAGTTAATGTTTTACCATAAATTCATGACAATACGAAGAATAACATCACTCCTCATAAGCACTTGCAAGGTCTTTTAATTATCCAATACTCTCAACTAAGATGGAAAGAGAGGTTACATAAACCCGTCGCGGGCAAAGTGTCCTCCAATTTAGGGTTTAGGGTTGAAATCCCACTTTGAAGAAGAAATAAAGAACTAAAATCATCTCTTTCTATCTCACTCGTCACTTGATTAATTTTAAATAATTTTTCTCCTATTTAAAGGGATTTCATCTTAAACATGTAGCCTGTTATACTAGGAATATATTCGTGCACTTTGTACGACCATTGATACAAACTTGATAAGTGATATTAATCAGAGGATATCGGTACGTGCGACTTTTTATCTCCTTTTGCGAGATACTAAGAATTTCCTACACTTTTGATAACCATGATACCAGCAAATTTCTTTGCCAAATCTTGGCTCCTCATGAAACACAAAGTCACGTTAAATGAGGTGGTCGACAAATCTACAACAATCCAGCTCTAGGTTAAACTAACAAACACAACAGTATGATTCATGTTTTCCAGGCAATGGCGGGATCCATCGCCGGTTTAAATATTAGGCCCATTTGATGGGCGGGATGACTGATTAATTAAAATAGACTTGAGTTTAATCCGTTGTTTGTTGTGCCAAAATGTGAGATGAGCAGTGGACATGATAGGTTATGAATCCACAATAGTGTGGGTTATCTAACTTATCCTTATATATAGGTTACAAATCATGTTTTACAAGTCTTTGCCAATCCATTCCTATCCCTAAGGCCCAATCTCATCTAGACCACCAAACAATGTTTGGTGGGCTGGTTGGGATAAGTTGTGACCAAATAAAATAGACTTTAGTCCAATCCGTTATTTGTTGTGTCAAAATGTGAGATGGACATGACTGGACATGATGAGTTATGAATCCATAATGAAGTGGGTTATCTTGTAGAATTATCAGAGAGATGGGTCATACGGCCCACTTCCAACAACACTGATATTGTCATCAACTTGGTAATTATCATCTAAACAATCTGTTAGGTGTGGAGTTTTATCACAAAAGACCTCGGTATTAGTTGAAGTGGGTTATGATATTTAAACTCTTCTTTTCTCATTGATACGGTGGATGTGGGAGATTTCAACACACCCCCTCACGTTGAACCCAATTAGTGGGTCACACGTAGGAGATCCACACATCGACAACCACAACCACGTGAAGCCAGGGGACTTACCCATCACATGGCAGTATAGTACAAACCGGCTCCCTAGCTTTGATACCATGTAGAATTATCAAAGAGACGGGCCATACAGCCCACTTCCAACAACACCGATATTGTCCTCAACTTGATAATTACCACATGCACAATTTGTCAGGTGTGGAGTTTTATCACAAAAGACCTCGGTATTAGTTGGAGTGGGGTTATGATATTTAAACTCTTCATTTTCTCATTGATACGGTCGATGTGAGATATTTCAACATATCTAATCTATAATTGTATGGGTTGCAAATTTGTCTTACATGTCTCTACCAATCCAATCATATTCTAAGGTCCAATCCATCCAACTCACCAAACGGGCCAAGTGACGTGAATATGAAATCCCAAGTTTTTGAAAGTGACCAAGTCGGGAAAAACAATTCCACCTTTGTTCCCTATCTCCTTCTGTATCGCTCTCCTCGCGTGATATAGTCGGGATAATAAAACTGGGACGGGCATTAACCGCAGCTAAGTTATTCAATGATTCCTTATCAAAAATTCAAGTAATCTTCCATCTTAGACATGAGACTCATAATCTCCTAAGAATTTTTCCTGCACTTTCACATGACCGTGATACGATGATACGAACAAAGTTGTTCACGTCGTTTTAAGAAACATAAAACCAGGTGAAACAAGATTCATGTGCTTCCGGCAATGGCAAAATCGATCACCTCTCCAAAATTCCGATTTATTAGTCTCTGGTATACGTGTAACAAGCACAATATCTGATACAGGAGCAATGATATGAATCCTAATAAGAATATGTTACACCGATTCAAACGAGTTGTCACTAAAACGCTGAAATTCTAAGGGATGATTTAATCGACGCTGGCGTTTTTACTCAAGGCCCGAACTCTGAGATTTGGTCAATTAATGAATATCACAAATTATAACGGATTTTACAGAACTCTAATCAAGATGGTGGTCCTGACTCGTAGATTTGAGTACAGTACCTCTGTCATTGCTGCTGTTTGCCCTAATGGGCTGTCGAATTTGAAGGATCTACACCGATAGCCTTAAAATACGCATTTTCTGCATTTGCTACCCGCATCTGAAACATCGTCCATTCCTTTCTACACCTTTCCCTTACCTGGAATCAGTATAGACAATAGCGATATCAGCAAACTTCATTAAAATAATTGCGCGTTTTTGTTGTTTATAAGATACTTTTGTGTGAGTAGTTGCTGTTTATAAGATAAAAATGCGAAACAATGACTCGTTGGAATAAGTGTTCTTGCATACCCCTTGCCATGGCGCCTTTCCATTTTGCGATTCACCCTACAGAAAGCCGAAAAAAAACTAAGCTTTTCGTACCAATATCTAAAATATGTTTATTAAGGAAACGAGATGATGACAGCCGCTAAAAAGTGATAATTACCTGGCTCCCCAATGAAGGAACAGTTTGATGAACGATCCACTGAGAATCTACAACGCCAATCTTCTCGTGCGCAGGCTGTTTGCAAAGAAAAAATGTGTTTAATTAGGAGTTCCATACAAATCCGGCCATCTGCAGATTACGAAATAAAGAACAAAACAGAAACGTTAAGGAGGTTAGGAAGTGGGTCACCAACCTCTACACATTTTCTCAGGGCAAAATCAAGACCCCAGCCGTGGACCAAGTCATTCTGCAAACACCAAGTGTAGCAATCACAGAATTAAGTAACAAGACGGCTAATTTAATCAAGTGCTATAAAGGTTATCCATCCTTAATACCTGAATCATATGCCACACACAGCGCCAGGCACTTCGAGAAAATACTGGAGCCATGATTTCAATAAAGCTGAATCAAGAAAAATTTATTAAACACAAATGTCAGATAAAAGGGGAGACAAACAACAGCACTAAAATGTCCTCTACAATTTCTTAATGTCTTACGCTGCACATGGAGGCAGAAGTGGGTCAGTGCACCAGCCTGGTTTTTCCTCTGTTTGTCTGGAACAATTCGAGACAAGGATTACAGGATTACTTCATAGTTCATAAACTAAACCCGAAACAAATAAATATATTTCAGTATAGGTTCCATGATTTTACTTATGAACTTCACGATCACCCCTCCTCTTTGTCATCTGCCATGTTAAACCTTTGTTGGGTTCCAAACCAGGCTGTGAAATCTCCAAACCATGCTTCTTCACTAGTCTTAGGTATCTGAAGTTGGATTGAAAAGGAAGGCATAAGAGATTAATTTAGTAGACTAACAAGCTCAACCTAAAAGAATTACTTCATAATGAAACTCACACTTCTGCATTAAAATGCTCTACTCCCAGGTCTTCATCCCAGATAAATATGTAGTCGTATGGCGCCACAATGTCAGGATGCAAAAACCGCTTGGCATACCACCTTTGACAAAATACTTAAAAGTAAAAAAACCAGAGAAACTATTCATTATTGAAGTAAAAGTAGGAGTTGACAATTGTTCATACCATTTAGTCTGCTTACGAGCACTAATATGTATAGCACGCTTAGACCACTCTAAGTCATCCCACTCAGTTGTTTGGCCATCGTAATGAAAAAGGAGAATTGTAAAGTTCTCTGAAAACTGTGAGAGAAATATATTTAGTCACACACATCCACCAGAGAGAGGGAGAGCGAAAGAGAGAGAGAGAGAGAGAGAGAGAGAGAGATGGAAACCTTTTTCACTGCTGCATCAATATTCTTTTTCTGATTCAAACCCACAGTGAATGTCACTAGGTACCTTGGTTTGATGGTCAAGTCCTGCAATTGTCAGCTTAATCAAAAGACTTGCACTGTGACTAACAACGAAACATCAAAATCAGAGGTATTGTGTGCCGCCGAAAACAAAGGATTTAACTTTGCATCCTCACTTGGACTAGAGAGAATTCAATAAACTAAAAAAAAAAAAAAAAAAAAAAATTCTTGTCATAGGCAACGAATACATATACTAAAGTAACTATTTTCTTTGGTATGAATTCCTAGACAAATCAAATGCGTAACACAGAAGATTCCACTTCCAGCTTTATTTGCAACAGCCATATACCAATATTTCATCATCCCATACGCATTAATTCAAGACATCCGAGAAACTGTAACTATTCTGCATTATCTTCAGTTTCCACTGTACCATTCTAGGCATTGCGGAGAGTCTAAAACTATTTTGCTTGTATAAGAAACAATATAATACACACCTCACTAGGCTTGCCCCATAATCTGCGCAAGTAGAAGTCTGACTCGGCTGCAACAATTCCTGGTGGTAGCATTTCTGCACCTCTAGGATTTGATGGCACCCAAATCTGCAGGGAATGTAAGCGTTAATCTAGATAAGTAATGCCTATATAATGAGGATTTACATGGTAGAACAAGAAGCTGTCAACTATATCGGAAAGGACACTCAGATTTTTTGCAACTATAGACCTGGTTGGACATTTGTATTACAAGTAGCCAAGATTCAATACACCCCTCATTACATAAAAACTTTCATACTGATGTAAAACCAGTCATTTCCGAACTTGTACTACTGCTAATGTCAGGGAGAGAAGGTATACCCTCGATTTGCCATTCGAACTCTGATCTTGACTTGAGCTATTTTTACTCCTTTCAGAAGGCCAAGAACTTAGATGTGATTGGCTGGAGATGTCTGATTTCTTGTCCTCAGTGTACGAAAGATCAACAGTTGGAAGAAGGCTGGATGAGAGATTCAGCTGTCACAAAATTGCACACGCAGTAAATATGTTTCGCCATCTAGGTAAGCAACCGAAAGGAGTGTAACAGATACCCAAAAAAATTGTGTACCTTTGTTAGTGACAATGTTGGAAAGGACACACCTATCAAGAATCCAAAAGCTACACCTACAAAAGTTGTCACAATAAGCCTCATGTTCTCATTTGGTTTTTTACCACCCGAACTGCAGCCAACAACATGCAAACGTAATTAGTGATGATCAGATCTCCATAATAAACTTAAAGAGCAACAAAAGTTGACTTCTTCCAATGGAAATAGACTGTAACAAAATTTAACCTGCGCGAAAGGATTCTCATGTTATTTACAAGCTTCTGACTATACATACAATCACGGAAAAATGAACTGCAAAGCGATAGCTGATCTGCATTATTTAACAGGTTTTCAGTTGCGAATTCCTTTAAAAGAAACGACAACCCTCATGGAGGAACGCAAAACCTAGTTTATCTTATACACAGGAAAATAAGTTTGAGCACACTACTTCAGGTAATACAAGAATATACAACTACGAAAATGACCCGACCATTTTTGTAAATAGATGAACAAACCATATTAATAGATGGGTAGCACTTGAAACTCACAACCCAAAGCTGCTGTAAGATGGATACGCTTTATCTCTCTCAATAACAACATCTCACTTTCCGCCGCATTTCAAATCGAATTCAGAGAATACATTGACCATTTAAAGGCAGAAACCGCATACCTATACCCCTAACCTACCAAGCAGGATTCTTCAAACACAATATAAAGAAGCAACAAGCAAGAAGTCATGTGCCCGTTCCTCGATCCCCGTCTACATACGGAGAAACGAAGCGATCATGTGCTTCCATTTGACAATGAGCAGCTAACACAAAGTCACAAAATCAAACACCCATTCATTGAAATGCTCCACGTGCTCCCTTTGAATTAAACACTAAGTAACAAAGACCACTTCTTCCCCACTACCTTAAATTACGACATAATAACAGCTGTTCTTGCTTAATTTCAAAGACAACGAACAAAACGACCAGGAAAACAAAAACATAAATCCAATTACTAAGTTAGCTCATGTGATTGAACATTTCCCGATCAAACATCTCTATTAACTTCAAAAATCAAAACATTAAAATCCACGAACGAAATCGCAAGCGAGTAGCACAAGGATCTAGCAACTTCGTAAATAGTGAAACCAAATAAAAATTCAAACAAAAATGAAAAATGATATTCGAAGCTAGATAATAACTTAACCGAGTTGAGCTGAGCAGAACTCTACCTAATTTTCTCGGTAACCAAACAGAAAACGAAACGAGTGAATCGAGAGAGAAAATAACCGACCTCATATAGCCCTGAGCAAGATCTGCTGGAGGGAAAAGCCGTTCAGGAGCTGGGAATCACGCGGAAAAGCACCTTCTGCGAATCCAAGCTTTTGCCGAGCTCAGGTGTGATCTCGGGGTTCAAATAGCGTGAGAGAAAAGAAGACTATAATTCCTGATATTTCCGAGGTTTTGAGGTTCACGTGTTTTTTCGGCGGTTGGCTGCAGGTACTTCGGCCGTAACGAATCGGTCGGAAGTGATTTGAATTGAGTGGGCGGTGGAGGTGATGGTGGAGGACGACTTTGTCTAGACTCGGGAGGGAAACACAAGGAGAAGTGACAATAAAGGGGATTTATATATTTTGTTTTTATTTTCGGTTTGTTTGTAAGTGCTTTCGAAATAATCGAAAGTATCTTTAAATGAAATATTTGTAAATTTTAAAATCATATAAAGTGTTTTTTTTTTTTTTTTTTTTTGTTGATTTTTGTATAATGAAATAAAATGTTTTTCTAAAATTGACTTGCATTTATTTATAGTATTTTCAAACAAGTTATTATTTGCGTGAGATCTCAGTAAAACAATTTAATTAAAATACTAATTAGTAGGATTAGTAACCAATTTATATTCCAAATGCGACTTTAATTAGAATTTTGACCATGATCAGACTCCTGAGTCCTTAATAGGTAAGCCACTTACATTCTTTCTATTATTATATTGGATTTCCATAAGAAAAATGTAACAGCATTTTAGTGCTTTTGCTTTTCGACTTTTCTTCTTTTCTTTTTTTAATTGAACGTACGATATTCATTGAAAATAAATCAAAATATATACAAATTGAGGATAATGTGCATAATGAATCTAGATAAAATCTTGCCAGTACTTTTAATCCAGTCGAAAGGAAAAGGGTGTCCCGCACAAACAAAAAAACCTATCCTCAAATGACAATACATAAGCAATTTACTCAATATCTTCGAACAAAATATCCCTAAACAAGTCAGGAGGTTCTTCAAACCACATAAACTTTGGATTACTACCGATTCCCACTCGAGCAAGGTGGTTCTTCAAACCACATAAACCTTTTCTTCTTGTTTTTGGCTTAATGCTGGTTTTGTTGGTTCCTTGTTTCATATTTTGGATTTATGGAGAAACGTGTGGGAAGGATGTCAAGGTCAATTACCAAGTGCCCTTGTATCATTGAAGTCGGCCAAATAAAATATATTACCACGATTTAATAAGGAAAAACAGGAGACGTGACTTATATACATATTTTTTTCTTTTTTTTGCATAATTTGATAGAAATTTTTCTATACAAATTATTAAAAAAACTATTAAAACGTAAATTTTTGTACAAAATTGTAACAGAAAAAATGTTGTACAATTTTCTTTTGGGGTGAAACTTATTACAAAAAATTTTGTAACAAAAAGTAATGTGTTAGTAAAATCCAAAGTAATTAAAGAAAATAATAAAAACAAGGCTTTAGCCAAATGGTCCCTTATTATCATAACTCCTTACTTTTGTCAATGAGATTTAAAAGTGATAAAAGTGGTCTTGATATTGTCCACTGTCAATCATTTAAATTCTTTTGTGAAAAATCTCTATTAAATTGAAGAAACCACTAGTTCAAGGAGATGAGTTGATATGACAAAAATACCCTCAATTTAACAGAGATTTCTGATAGAATCACCAAAGTGGGGAGTTATGTCAATCACAGTAACCATTTGAATAAAAGCCTAAAAACAATATCTAACTTAATAAATTTTGCACAATACCTAACTTAAAGATGCTTATTTTGAGGCCATACCAAAATTTATGATGTCCATGCTGAATATTTAGCATTTAATACCATAAGAAGTATGCAACAACAAATTATCTGATTGCAGTTGTGAATGTTTGTAATTAATTTTTGTTTATTATAACGATATATTTTTACACCAAGGGAAGGGGAACTCGGTTAAGCCATAAAATGGACAACCTAATTTGGTATTAAATTTGTCATCTACGAGATTCAAACTTAAGACCTCTCACTTGTCAATGAAGAAAAATACAATCAGATCGTAATATTGAATGACGTTCGTAATTAACTTAACTACAAGCTTTTTGTTGACGAAAAAGTCTTTATATACATATATATATATATAATTTTTTTTTTTTGAACAAACGAAAGAAAGTTTGTATAATTGACTTCTTTTTAGACATTACGAACTTATAGCGGCGTTCCACAAAAGATAAAAATAAGCATTTCGTTTCCACCTTTTCTTTTCCCCCGATTCATAATGAGAAATTATTTTTCTTTTAATTATTTATAAACCGATTCATAAGACAACAATTAATACATTCTTTCGAGGATGCATTTGACAAAGGCGATTTTTATGAGGCTAGCTAAAACATTGACTATTCTGGCACTGACTTTCATCGGACGGTGGAGAAGATTCAACGAAGCGTAGGAAGCAATCACTGTCCATCCTTTGGGTTGACCCTAAACTGAAGTTTGACCCGGCCAATAATAGGCCAACGGAATTCTCTCGGAATCATTTTGGTGAGAATTCTAGAGATTTGTAAATCGTATTTATTCATCATATATCGTACGATCAATTTTTATCATATAATATTTATATTTAATTTTAAATAAAAATATTTAAAATAATTTTACTAATCTTCGAAATCTCCACAAAAAAAAATCTAACAAGAATCCGGAATCAATAATAGGAGCTGTACGTCCCCGCATATTAACGTTGAGCGGGGCAGTGGGCAGTGGGCAGTTGGCCGGTCCGGAAGGGCCGCATAATCTCGAACCATCGTGGTGCTTCCACGTGGTGCCATAATACTAAGTGGGTGGGACACACAACTGCATGTTCCCAAATCGATTGGCCAGATTGTTGGGCCGACATGTCGTATAAACGTGTAGACTAGTCATCAAACTTTGGGCAATCGATAGTGCCAAAGGATGTTCCGGTTTGGTACTATTAATTGTGTGGATATAAACAAAGTTAATGCGAAAAATACAGTGCCATGCTTCCGCTATGCTCTTGCTTTGCAAAGTGGACAAATATTAATGCGTCAAAAACGATGTTATGAGAGGTCTTATTCATTAAAATTAGATAAGAAAAGGGGGGATTTGAGTGGCCAACTATACGATCGTGACATCGTTGCCTATACCCTTTCACAAATGTTATTTGAGGTTGTTTTAGGAGTGAAATTAGTACACTAAAAATGGTGTAAAGCCAATCACAAGATAGTTATTTAGGAAACACGAGGGTAAGGCTATGGTTAAGAGCTCGTGTGAAAATGCTTTTAAAATAATCGAAGATGTTTCTGAAGTGCTTTTTAGAAGAAGAACTAGATGTGTTTTTTGCAGGAAGCACTTCAAGTGATGTTTCAAAATCCACTTGATTTTAAAAAAACGATTGATTTAAAAAACATTTTCATCACCAGCCTTAAGTATTTACGGTTTCATGCAGCTCCGCTCTATCTCTCTTATCCTGTAATCAAGAGTGACAAACTTGAATTATTATAATTCCGACATAAAAAAAGCAACAAACCAAATCTCCCAAACCCAAGCTATGAGTATGGCTTTGACGCACTAAGATGTTGAGCAGCGTGCACCAACGGGGGGTCGGGTCTTGTCGGTTTTTCAACTCTTGTTTGGTTACATCTTTTTGTCATTAATAGCCGACCACACGTAGTGGAAAAAGATTTTGTTGTTATTGTTTTAATCCCTTAGTTTTGGACAGTATAATTTTTGTAAAAGCCCAAAAGGCACAAAACAAAGCAGGGCCCAAAAACAAGGGAGGGCCACATGAAATCTAACGTACTCAAGAAATCAAGTTTGCTAGGTGTTTTATACTCTTTTAAGTTTGTAAGCTTTACAGACAACTTTTACATACGAGTGAAGAATCTTCAAACAGGAAACTACACATGGTGCATATACGCATGCGGATTCCGATAGCGCCCTATTTGTCCTTATTTATGTACAAGAGTATGCATGGTGTGGAACGGGGGAGAAACTATACAGAACTTCCACCAAATTGCAAGTATTAGGTTTAGACGCATCATCAAGGAAAAAAATTTCCAAATTCTACCACCTCATTCTCGCAAATCATCAGATAGAGGCAGGATTAATTCTCTGGTCTTTGAACAATCTTACCGATGAAAGCTTCAATTCTTTCTACGCCCCCTGAGCAGGGCCATCAATATCGGATATTTCCATGAGAGAAGGCAGCCACAGTTCTACTCGAGTTCCACCTGCTCCAAGTTCAGCATCTGTGATTCGGGGTGATATGACACGGACAACACAGCCATAACTTTCGAGGATCTCACGAGCAACTGTCAGCCCGGCCACAAAGTTCCAGGTCATGTTGTCTTCAACCATATTTTCTGAGAAGAGATCGGCTCCAAAAGGAGTGAGAGAATGCATTTGTGTCTGAAGACAAATAATCCAACACTAAAGTTAATCCATGACGAACTGTATGCAGTGATGGTGAGTTACAATCGACGAATAAAAGAAAAGTTAAATCTCTAATTGTTTATAGAAGATCAAGTTAGCAGAGTTCAAAGTCTGCAACTATTACCATATAGTGCATATCAGGCCCATCGTCATCAATTACTACAAGAGCACCACCTGCTGGTGCTCCAGTAGACACAATTTCTACCTTTCCCCCACTGTGCGTACGCAGTAATGCACTCTCGATTAAATTGCTCAGAGCCTGTCGCAAAGCAGGTTCTTCTACAGCAACTTGCAAAGAGTTTTCAAGTTCATTCAGTTCTACCACGCGCTGCTGGTTTTTAGCCAGAGGTCTTACAGCTTCAACCAAATCTACGAGTATATCAGAAACATTGCATGGTCTTCCTGACATAATTGACAAGCATTAGGAAAATGATACGTTCTATGTTATAAGAGGGGCATTAATTTAAAGTATCCAGCTCTATGCACTAGTGAAAACAATAGTGATATACTCAATTTTGTTTTTCTTTTCCATATTCTTTGGAATCTGAAATGATGATCTCAGAATTTATAGGCTACCTAATCCCATTTTGCTGTAAAGGAGCAAGGGCTAGGGGTGGCATGGGCATCTCCATATCTTTGGTTGCGGCATTTAGAGAATGTTGTTCGCTTGGCACTTGCATCTTAATGCTGGAACTATCCCTTGGAAGGTTATTCAGTAACCGAGACCTCACTGAGTCAGGATAGGAATATGTTGAATCATGTTCACCAGAGCGCATGATATTAGCCTAGAAAAATCAGATGGAAAGGTCAGTGTGTCTGACCCATAGCGATAATAATATAGACGGAACTTCAAATTTTGTAAGTCTCAGAGAAAATTTGTAAGTTCCAACTACATAGTACAGGTATGACTGAAAAATATCTTGAGCATGCATATCTCAGAAAAATTTGAAAGGACATACAACAATGGGAACAGATTGCCAAAAATGACTAGGAAACTGCTGATAAACAGATTGACTCCTTGAAGACAGTATAAGAAGCCTCAATGACAACGGAATGTATAAGATTAAAACGTGTCAGAGAGAGAGAGGGAAAGAGACTAAGTGCCTTGGTCAAGTAGACAGCATCCTGGAGTTGCTGAAGGGTATCTTTCATATGATCGCCTTGCACCCGTATATTTTCAACAATGTCATAAGAAATCTACATAAGCACACCATTACAGTGTAAATACAGGACATAAAATGAATATATGTAAGGCAAAAATTATATAAAAAAGGTCATATACAAAGACAAACCTCACTCCTCTTCATATGCATGGATAACATTTTACTTAAGGTTCGAAGGCTAGAAAGAGGACCACGAATCTGGAAGAATACATGGCGTGAGGAAAATTAAAAAATAATCACTTCCATATTAAGAAAATGCAAAGCCAAATCACAAATGCAATAACAGTTGTCTTACTTGTTCAACCAGACTACCCATCCTGACATTATTCTGCCATGATGACTGCTGGAGTAGCATTGCCTTCTGCAGAAGTAGGCATTTTTTTTATCAGCAATTAAGACGAATGGACTTTAAAAGACACAAATATAGTCATGGCCGCCACACACCATAAGTAAAAATTACCATTATTAATTCACTGTTAGTACCTGATCCATAACATACGCCAAAGCTATAGACCGAGAAATGTTGATAGCATTTGATATCTGCTCAGCACTAAACTTGTATACTCTTAATGATGGTTCCACGTGATCATCCAGACTGAGAGGAGTACCCCAAGATTTGACATTGGAGCTTGGAGGCAAAGCATAGGCTTCCTCAGGAGTCGGGCGGCAAACCAAATCACGATCCTCACCCTGAACACTCCCGGGTGGCGGAGGCATTTCCATCCCGGGAAGTTCAGCAACCAAGAAGCCTACCACAAAAGGGTGCTTCACCATCGGAAAAACCACAGCTTTACACTCAGCTACAACTTCCACCTACAAATTCAATTCCCAACTGAATGTATTCAGTCACAATATATCAATCCACAACTAAGACTAAACACTAATACTTCAAATTCAGTATCTACTTTGTGATTGGAGAGCACGGCCTCCGTGGCGCGAAAACCGGCAGCAACACTAAAACTTCCGACTAATATCACAATGTCTGATGCCTTCACTCCTGGATGGCAAGTTACCCTACGAAGCTCTAATCGGTCCATCACATAACTACCAGCTGGTCTTACATACACCTATATACACACATATATACGTATGAATCCAAAATTATACATATACTATACATACATGAACGTACACAAATGTAATCCATAATTAATCATGCAGAAACAAAATTAGCAATGTGATTAATAGATAGTAAGATATTATTTTGCCTAAACTGACCGAGAGGAGAGCACCGGGGTCGACGATTCGGCGAAAGAGGTCCAACTGCTGAATGCAGAGTCTTTGAAAGTCGGGGCTGGGAAGCACGATGCCGCTCTTCTGGTCCTTCTCGATCCTCTGCATGAAGTCGACGGGGGAAGTGGAGGCTCTGCGGATGGCGGAGGCGACGGCGGAGGCGGAGGGGACCATGGAATTGGAGTCGGGGTCGCCATCGGAGGCGGAGTGAGTGACGTGGCGGATGGTCTGCGGGGAGCTAGGGTTAGGGTTTTGGAGGGAGGAGGGGGAAAAGGCGTTGATGGTGAGGAGGTCATGGGGTCGGGGAGTGGAGGTGGCGTTGGGTTTGAGGGAGGCGGGGAGTTTGTGGGAAATGGGGGGAAAGAGGAGGGTAGAAGCGGAAATTGACGGGTGCTGGTGGGTGGTTGCAGAGAGAAGAAGCATTTGGAGACGGAGGAGGGGGAGGAGGAGGTTGTGGTGGTGAGTTGAATGGAGCGAGTCAGAGTGAGTGGACGGAGGTAAAAGTCAATCTGCCGATAAAACGCTGACTGATTTTCTGTTGCGGGCTGAGCTTAGAAGGACTAACCGACAGTAGTACAAACCTCTGAAATTACTGAATGCCATTTCAGTTGTCCGACGTCGTTTGGGCGCCAAAAATTTTGCCTTTTTCATTTGTTATTTATTTAATTTATGTTGCTAAAGTGTGAATAACAATTATTATTATTATTATTTTTGAATCGAAATAACAGCAACAATTCTTTTTTGAATTTATTTCGGAGACAAAACGAGATTTAATTGTTTAATTGATAAAATCTTTCTACTTATTTTCTTGTGTTTTGATTCAATTAATTGATATGATTGATTGTTTAAGTATAATATCAATCACAAATAAATCCCGAATTGGTTAATCAATAATGACAATGAATGAAATTATAGTTAAGCAAAATTAATCATGAACAAGATTTTCTTGAAACATTATTGTTTAAGAATCGAACATTGTTTAAAGCTATATAGATTAAAATAGCACATTTGGGCTTGACAAAGTTGATTTGGTGTTCACTCATGAACACTTAAATTTGAATCCCTTTTTTCAAAAGATAGAATCTAACCTCTTACCGCCACACTCACCACCATGATATTGGCAACCATCGAATTTTGTTAATTTTTAAATATTGGCTACCATCTCATATTCAAAATGTAAAGTCATGTTTTTCTTTTTCGGGTTCACAAAACAGTTTCATTTGTAAAACATAATCGAACGAGACCTTAGATTTTTGTGATGCAAGTATAAAGTGTTGGTGCATGTATCTTGGAGAGGACAAGTCAACTGGTTTGTGGACTTTATAACCACAGTGGGTTTGAATCTTCTTAAAGAGAACGAGATGCACGCGTCTCAGCCTAATTGTCCAAGTGCTTCTTAGAAAAACATTATAATTTACTTGTAATTTTTCCAACGTAAAGTATCGTATACGTATGAATATAAAATTTAGGAATCATGACAAATTGATAATTACATCTTTAGGGAAGAATTAAACCCTAAACTATTCCTATCTTGAGAATCCGAGACTTGGCCTCCTTGTGCAGAAACATACAACGAGGATTGTTGCAAGGCACACTTTCTAGGCATGCGTGACAATACCTTCTCGTTACCAAAGCATGCCCTCAAGGCTCTACCATCCGACCAGAGGAACGTCCGGCCATCGACTCTTTGAACACAACGAATCGCTTCCACCTCTTTCGAGTAAGTAATAAATACATTACTACACGTATATTCTGTAAATCGCCGGATGAAAACATTCACAACCTTCCCATACTGCCCGAAATATTTTCTCCGCCGCAAAAGGTGTTCGTCCGCCAGATCAAGCGGCAACCCTACTATGTGAACAAGGTTCCGTTGGACCACCCGCACGCCACTGAGCTGCTGCTTCCGGCGACGCGCTTCCATGTCAATCTTCATCTTTTTCAGTTCAGCCGCCAGTCTCTCATACCTTTGGCCCGTCGACCCTACGATATTCTCCTTGTCGTAAGGTGCACGGCACGCAGGGCATCGCCCTTCCCTCTCGTCCTTCTCGGCCATGTCCATTATTTGGTGCCAACACCAAAGGCATATCTCGTAACCGCACTCGCACGGGTGCAATTGCTTATCTGTCAAATCCATCTCCTCCGCGCAGAGCGGACAACAAGGCTTTTCTTCCTGCGGATCACTCATGACTTATAATTGTGTATAATTACGAATTTACCAGTTGTGGATCGACAGGAAGAGGATGAGATTGTGATAACCCTAGGTCGATTGTGTTCCAAAACAAAGAGACAGAGAGGGAGAGAGAGAGATTGGTGTAGGTATGTTTCCGTCTTATTGAACCACACCCCTTATATATAGAATTAGGTTGCTTGGAGGGTACCCCAAAATTTCCCTATTTTACGTGGGAAAAATATTTGTTGTCGGTGGGAAAAGTATTTATATACCTAGATATTGTACGTATTTTTGGGACAACATAATTTACCGGATTTATATCATTATTCATGTTTACTTATTGAGGATACAAGAAAAAATAGATCGGGAACATGCCAAAAATTTTAGTCTTCAAAGGAGATAGAGCTTCTGTATATATAATATACTCAGAATCACCACTAAGGGGGTATAAGAGGTGCCACGGCACAATGCCCCAAATTGCGAGGGCCTGATTTTTCATTTTTGCATGTATATATTTATATACAGGTTTTTTATGCAAAGAGATTCTTATTTTTTTTCAAAATATGAGGATTATGTGTGGGTCCACTCCACGTCAAACTTAAACAATCCGAACGTCTATTTTATAAGTCTCGATTCATAGATTATCTTTACAAAAATTCAATTAAATCCGAAACCATTTGTCTATTTAATTATCAAGATAAAATTTTATTGTTTTTTATATAACAAAATATTCGTCAATTTTTTTTAACCCAATTAGATGTCTTAAATATTTCTAATTTGGCTAATATTTTGCAAGGATGATCTATGAGATGCAACTTGAAAAATAGACGGTTTGGATTGTTAAAGTTCGATGTGGTATGGACCCCATAACTAATTCCTATTTTTATAAATAAATAAAAAATGGAAATCTCTTCCCTTAGAGCAGCTCTAGTGTAGGAAAGGCCCCCCAAGGCAACTGCCTATTGAATCCCCTCCAGTGAGCAGTAACTGCATTTAATGAACAGTAATTGTCTTTTGCATCTCCACCCCTAAACTGAATAGCCATGGCAATATGCAATAAAATATTAGTATTTTTTTATTTTATAAAATAATAAAAAATAATTTTATTTCAAATTTCAAATATGATTTTTAATCGGTATCGTTGTACCACGTTTCATTAAATAAGAAATTACAACCTAAAGTATTTGAGAAAATATAAAACTGTGGGGTGGAAGATAATGATAAGATATTTATAGAAAATTAAATCTTTTTTTTTTAATTTTTAAATTTTTTTCGGATTTTTTATTAATTGTTTACATTTTTTTTTATTAATTTTATAATGTAGTTGATGTTAGCTTGCCCTAAGGCACTCGAGCCTACGATTCGAGCCCGCCCTCTCACTCGCCCCCACCAACCCCGCTAGCCCAATCGCCCGCATGGGCTGGAGTAAGGAGGGGAGGCAATTGGATTGAAAACCTCCTTGATCCACCCGGTTATCCACAACGGTGGAGCTGCTCTTAAAAGCTTCCTATCTATATATACCTAAATGTGTAGGTAGTTAACAAACATGATTTGCTAGCGCTGGTGGTCTTTGGGCTATTTTATATCCGATTTCTTTTCTTCTTCTTTTTCAATTTTCTATAACTTTCACAAAAAAATGACACAAAGGTTTGAACCTGTACCTCTTAAAATCAATGGAAAACACTAATACACGGCTCCACTAGTGGTGTTTATAAAATTCCTCGTCCTATTACAATTTATAGATCTACAATTGAAAACCAATTACAATTTTAGAATTTCTCAAGGTTTTCGAATTACTTTCACACAAGGCCCTTGACATCTCAGGGCCGGCCTGAATATACACTATCATGCATGCATGCACATCCTTCAGATTAGCACAAATCATTTTATCAACAAAACAGTGGTTATTGCACTCCTTTCTTCCTTATTTGTTTCACTGGCTAGGGAGGATGGTGTTTTAGGATTTTTCTCAAGACTTGCTAGGACCCCTAATCCAGCTGAGCTTGCCACCGAATACCAGAATTTTCTTGACCATTGGTCTTCCACCTTGAACATGGCGATGGATAGCAGTCCTGCAGTCTCATCAGCAATTATGTTAGTAAACCTTTTTGGTAATTGCCCCTGTTTCATGTTTTAATAGATTTTTCGTAATTGCTTCCGTGACACTGGCTTAGAATTTGGTGATAACACTTACACTGATCATGTTGCGATGGAATCGGGATCGAAGATTCAAAAGGGTTTGAGAACAAAAACAGTCAGGAGGCATTCGGTATTAGACACGGAAGGCGCTCATGCGGACTACTGACGCTCAAGCGGACTGCGACATATTTGTTTTTCTTTTTGAATTTCTATTGTAATCTAAAGTTGATTTTACGGGTGTCATTTAGTATTACGGTCTAGTGATATTCCTCTCCATCTGTAAGTAAGAAGTCTTAGGTTCGATTCTCACCAAAGACGAATTTGAACCATAGTCTTGCTAGTTCTTATGAGACTTAGCTCACTCCATCACCATCTTAGTGTAGATAATATTGTTTGCTAAAAAAAAAACAAAAAAAAGCTGATTTTACGGCTTATGCAAAAGGGTAATGCTAGGGAGACCAAATTTTGTAACTTAAATGACATGGAAGTTAACAATTGGATTATTACTTACGTGTTGATTAATGTGTTTATTTCTTATTGGTAGCACATCACTTAGTTTGCAAATTTAGTCTATCTAGCATTACTATGTGAGAAAGCATATGAGAATACAAGTGAGCCACCAAAAGAGTTAATTTAAGGGGTGAGAAATAGTTTATGACCTTAGACTGAGAAAGAAAGGGTTGTTTTCTTGAACAAAATTTGTACTCTCTTGTAGTGAAATTTCTCATGGGATCGCCGAAGAGGGATTAGGATTCTCGCTGGATCCTCTAAATCACCCATATTCTCGTTCCCCTCTCCTCTGCAACAATCACCATCACTGCTGCAAACAAACCTAAACGCGCTGCTGCAAACCTACCGCTGCAAATGCGGTGGAGGTGAGCGTGCAACACGAGAACTGCATAGAGGACGCAAGGGCTTTCGTCGTGTTGGCTGCAGTTGTTGATCTGAGGATGGATGCTTGCAGGATTTTCTCGCAACGGCTAAGGAATGAGCTTGGATGGGGGTGATGTCGATGTGCTTTGGTAATTGCAGAGGAGAGTGGGGAATATGAGTTGAAGAGATAGTTCATTTTCAGCCACACAATTCTATTACGGACGGCTGAGATTGGGTGATCCGGAGAATCCGAATATAATGGATCCGGCGAGGATCCTAGTCCGCCAAAGAGGACGTAGGCACGTTGCCCAACCTCTATAAATATTGTTAGGTTTAATTTTCTGCTACTATTAAAACCTCTAATCCAATCCATTTTCACTAAGGTTCTAAAAAACGCTAGGTGCTAGTCGGATGGCGGACAGGCGCCTAGCGCCTAGGCGGATTTATGTATATTTATTATATATATTATAAAGTATGAGTATATTTGTAAAATTTTAGGGCTTTTTATGTTAGTTTTATAACATTTACTCAGCCCACATATTTTAATTATTATTAGGCTTTGCTTCTCATTTAATAAACAACATTGTTTTTTTTATATAAAAATAATTTTTTTATTCCCTAATGGCAGACAAAAAATGATAAAAAGAGAAAAAAAATTGACATAGATGTGGCAACACATCTATCTTCCCACTTTATTTCTTATCTACCCGTGAACCATATCACAAAATCCCAGGAATCTCATCTCTCTTCCAACTTTATTTCTTATCAACCCGTGAACCATATCACAAAATCCTAGAAATCTCTCTCTCTCTCTCTCTGTCTCTTTCCAGAAACCTCTCGCAAAGCAACCTCCATGGCTATCTCTCTCTGTCTCTGTCTCTTTCTAGAAACCTCTCGCAAAGCAACCTCCATGGCTATATATATATATATATCTCTCTCTCTCTCTCGTTATTTTTCCAGAAACCTTTAGCAAAGCAATGCCTATATTCAGATGCGGACGTAGATGGGAGTTTCGATGCAGATGCGAGAGTTAGAGTTGCAGATCCGATGAGAGTTCAAGATGGCAAAAGTTGTAGAGCCTTCAACGCTGGCAAGAATTTCAAACCGCCTTGAGCATCGCCTAGCACCACCTAGAGCGCCTACGCGGCCGCCTAGATACCCACCGACTTTTGTAACGATTTCCCCCAAATCGCATTGGAAGACCACCGCCAAATGCCTAGGCGGCCGCCTAGGCGTTTTTTAGAACACTTTTGACTAATTCAAAAGGGCCTAACGTAACTTGAAGATACTTGACCGAATAATTTAGCTAATTATAGAGCAAGAATTTTATGGTTATAATACAAAAACATACCATATACAAGTTCGTTATCATCGAATTCATAATTGGTTTAATTCAAATCAATATTCGTTTAATAGAGAATTGAATTTACAAAATACCATTCCCGCAGTTGAATCCTAATCTTTCTTTATTTGGATCAAGGACTTCGTCCCAATTGGCGTTACATTGTTCAAATAAGAGCATAAAACAAAATACAAGCGAAAGAATAAACTACAAAATAGCATTTTTCTATGGGAAAAACGGAAAATACAACCGAAAAAGTAAACTACAAAATAGCAGTGAAGAGTTTCATGCTAAACTTTTTTTAACAAATAATAGATCAATCGATTCAATTCTGTCGATGAACACAGACGAATAGATCAATCCTAAGTCCTAACCCAACTGGGTCAAATCCAACTTTTTGGCTCGAAAAAGTCAAAATTGTTGTTACAACTGTATATAGTCGTTAGACTGAAATCTTGAAATTTCTGTTTTTTTTTCAGTTAAATTTATCCGGTAAAGTTTCTGGAACCAAATTTATTTCAAAGTTTTGACCGCATTCCTAACGGCTCCTAGTTTTGACCCCACGAGAACCCTAACTTCTCTCTGCCCCTTCCAATCCTCTGCTTTACTACTTCACTCCTCCCCCATCAATTTCTCTCACATTTTCTTTCTTTCTAGCCGTTGGCGCCTCTCTCTCTCTCTCTCTCTCTCTACGTTTTCTACAGCAATGGCGAGCTCAGAACTCCCCGTTTCGCATTCCGATTCGTTATGCGCTACCGCCGCCGTGCTTGATGCGGTTGCCGCTTCATCTTCTTCTCTGAAGCGGAAGAGACCCCCGATGATTGCGATCCCGAACGTCCTGCAAGAAATTAAAACCGAGAAGCTCCGGGATTTCACCCCGCAGAACGGCGCCGTCTGCTTTAACGGGATTGGAGTTGGGGTCTCCGCCTCCAAAGGCAAGAAGAAGTTTATGGAAGATACCCACAAGATTGTTTCTTGCTTACAGGGACAGAAATCAAAGAAAGTAAGCAAATTTGTTCTAATCATTTATGGGGTTTGCTGGAATCCCTTTTTTTTTTTTCAGTACTTTCTTTGTTGGCTTTTCTAATTTAATTTCTTTTTCTTCAATTTGTAGGCGTTTTTTGGGGTGTATGATGGGCATGGTGGGAAGAGGGCCGCAGACTTTGTTGCTGAGAATTTGCACAATAATATTGTCGAAATGATGGAAATGCATACGGAAACTGAAGAGGCAGTTAAAGCTGGGTATCTGAAGACAGACCAGGAGTTCTTGGAACAGGTAATTGCAATCCTGGTTTCTCTGCATCCTTAATTCTCTTGACTGATTACATGTTAGAGGTGTGAGGTGTAAACGTGACATTTGGAGGCCAAAAAAAATGATGAATTCCATCCAATTTGCTTAGAAAACTTCATTGATTATTAGCCTCGATACATGAAAATGTTGTTCAGCTCAACTGAATTGTGGAGGGTAATCTTGTTAGTTATGACTGAGAACATGGTCTGTATTAGTAAAGGTTTATTGATGATTTCGGGGTGAATGCAGGGTTTAGGCAGCGGAACCTGCTGTGTCACAGCCTTAATCGAAGGGCAGGAGGTTGTTATTTCAAACTTGGGAGATTGCCGGGCTGTTCTTTGTAGAGGTGGAGTGGCGGAAGCTCTTACAAAGGATCATAAGGCAGAACAGGAGGACGAACGCAAAAGAATAGAGCATGAGGTATTTAACATAATCATTGTCACAAATACATAGTACTGACATATATTGGAAATATTTTGATGATAATTGTTGGTATTGTGATTAGGGAGGTTATGTAGAGTTCCACCGAGGAGCATGGAGAGTTCATGGGGTTCTTTCTGTTTCTAGAAGCATTGGAGATGCTCATCTGAAAAACTGGGTGGTGGCCGAGCCTGAAACAAAGATACTGCAGCTGACTCCAGATATGGAATTTCTTGTATTGGCTTCGGATGGACTATGGGGAGAGGTAAACAGAACCTTTGATGCGTGAAGTATCTGTCTTATTATTCGGAAGTGTTGTAAAAACTGGAAATGCAGTCATTAATGCTTTTGCTGATATCTCATTGCTTGTATTGACTTGCCTTTTGCATGGATAAATCTCTACGATTGTTAGGCAGTGTGACAGCACACATTTTTGCAGAACCTTTGTTTTTGTTTAAACTATATCTCCCATTTGCTTTTTCTGCTAATTGTTAAAGTCTTTCTTGGTGCATGAATGGATATCTGAGTCCACATCCCTGCCGAGAATAATGAAAGTCAGTTCTTTCTAACTCTGATGTTGAACTGTTTCACCTAGGTTGACAACCAAGAAGCCATCGATACTGTGAAACGATTATGTTCAATTCAGAAGAAATCGGCACCCTCAGGAGATCTTCTGAATGATGATGGCCATGGCTGTGTCAGTGTGAGCCCTTCATCAAAGTTGCGAAGGGTTTCGCTGGTTAAGCAAGTAAAAGGGATGCAATCCCCAGGCTTTAAGAAGGCGGTCAATAGCTGGCAAGATAGTGAGAATGACTTTGCAAGTGAAAATGAAAGCCCTCCATCAAAGTCGAGAAGAATATCCTTGGTAAAGCGATTAAACATGAAGATGGAATCACCCAAAAAAGAGACTCAATCTCCAGATATCTGGAAAGATAGCGAGAATGAATTTCCGAATGAAAATGAAAGGCCTCCATCAAAGTCGAGAAGAATATCAGTGGTAAAGCGAGTAAGCACGAAGATTCAACCTACCTCTTCGGGTGGACTGGTGGCTGCTTGTAAGGAGCTTGTGAGACTTGCCACGAGTAGGGGTAGTTTGGATGACATCACTGTAATGATAGTTGATCTCAATCACTTCAGATGCAACAGTGGATTCGCCCAGCTCAATTGATTCGCATTTGTACTCTTGCTGTAGGCCCCCCTCCTGTAGTAAAGGGTAACCTTCCAGAAAGCTATAGAGAAAGCTGTGCAGGTACCATATGTTAGATTCTTTAACTGCAAGTAACAGGAAGTCGCTTTCTCTCTTTTCAAAAGCTCAATGATAGTGCTCGTGGACCACCATTCTTTCGTTAGTGCTTCTTCCTCACGTTCTGAACACCTCTGATGTATCTATCTGATGTATCTATATGTTGTGCACGCGCATGCGCGATTGTAATTGCCCTACTGACTATAATTTGTGATAAATGAAGCTTCAGTAGCCTGCTCATGAATTTCTTTATGTTGGTATGTCTATGAATGAAGTTTTAATTCTTGTTCAGAAAGACAACGCCGCTCAACTGTTCTGCGACTTCAGCAATCAATCTGACTCTTGAGAAAGGTAAAGGTCGATTCATTTAAATTGTTTCATCGTCGTAGTTGCAATGTGGAAGTGCTGTTGTTTCCATTCCACCTGCAGGTCTTCCACCATAATCCCTTAGGGCTCGTTCAGTAACCATTTCACTGTCACCAAAGCGTCTTCGAGACTAGTGAAGACTCTGAGTTGGAGCAGAGCAGATTCCTCCTATCTTTCTGCACCTGCCACCCAGGATTCCTGTTTTCTACTCACTTCCCCACACACAACTTACTCCGTACTGTTCAGTCCAGGAGTTAAAAATACCTGTTAACACAGTAGAAATCTGCTTAAAACACGTAAACCACGTGGAATCATAATTTACCCACATCGTAAATCCAAATTATTTAATATTTAATCCAAATTAATTCCCTTTACCCTCCCTAACATTAACCTTTTTGAGTTGTTTAATTTCTGGTACACTGTCACATGAACTTCATATGTGATGGAAAAGGAGCTCGTTTGCTTTTTTCCATGCAAGAAAACGATAGATTTTATTGGGGTCAAACTTATTCTCCAAACCCAAACCACTTCCAAGACGAAATAAAGTAGGTGTTGTTAAAAACGGAAACCCAATAACAGATTGGAAAAAGGCTCGCACGGTTTACATTAAACGTAAACGCGTTACTCTCTTAAATTTAAGTTTAGTGTAGACTATCGCTTGTACTATCATAATATAAACTGTTTACTCTCGTCCTCGCTTCTCTCTCCCTCTAAGTCTGCCAGTTTGGGAATTTAATCATTTGAATGCCATGCTGCAAGAAAACCTGCCTTTCAAATCTTTCGTGCAGGATCTTAGCTAATCGAACGTATTCCTATTTCGTTCGTTAAATCAATTGGTTTTCTTACATTTCGTTGAGTAACCATGCACGATTCAATTGGAATTCCGCCCTGCTTCTCAGCCGGCGCTCATCTCACCCCAGCCGGCGTGATCAGGTCGGGGCAGAGCATGTTCATGTCAGTGTACAGAACGAAGATAGCCGGCCAGTGCCGGCTGATCACCATCACCTGGTGCAAGAATCTGTTACTCCACGGCCTCTCTGTTTCGGTGCAAGGCCAAAACAGAGACGAAGAGTATCGATGCAAAATCGAGCTCAAGCCGTGGTACTTCTGGCGCAAGCAAGGCTCCAAGCAATTCACGGTGGACGGCAGCGCCGTGGATGTCGTCTGGGACCTCAAAGCAGCGAAATTCAACGGCGAAACGGAGCCACAATCGGACTACTACGTCGCCATTGTCTGCGAAGACGAGGTGGTTTTGCTCGTTGGTGATCAGAAGAAAGACGCATTCAGAAAAACTGGCTGCCGGCCGTCGCTCATTGAACCGATCTTGGTTTCGAGGAGGGAGCATTTGTTCGGGAAGAGGAAGTTTTCGACACGAATCAAGTTTCACGAGAAGGAGAATTTCCATGAGATTTTGATCGAGTGCAGCAACGGCTCAGATGGGTCAGATCCGGAGTTGGAGATAAAGATTGATGGGATCCAGGCCGTTCGTGTGAAGCGGCTTCATTGGAAGTTCAGAGGGAATGATTGTGTTGATGTGAACAGAAACAGAGTTGAAGTTTTTTGGGATGTTCATGACTGGCTGTTTTGCTCTGGTCCGAGGCACGGAATGTTCATATTTACGCCGGTATCGGCGGAGCAACCGTCGCTTTCGACCGTTGACCAATCTTTGACTGAAGAGGTGTGTTCTGCTGTGGCAGTAGAGCAGGATAACGCAGGTGGCACATCCTCTCTGTTTTCCTTGTTCGTTTATGCTTGGAAGGTGGAATGAGGTGATTAGCGGCATGATTGGATTAAGTTAAAGCAAAAGTGATTAGGGATGAATGGAGGTGATTAGGGTCCAACGTTGATTAGGAACATGATTAGACAAGGACAGATTGAATCACATTAACATGTCCTATAATCCTCCAAATCCTAATTATCCTACTGCCTACTTTGAGTTTATAATTTATCTAGATATTTGGATCGCATATTTGTTTTTTTTTATTAGATATTTAGTAGAATTGTCTATGATAGGTTGTGCAATAGTCGAATTTTTCTTGTGAGTATGAGATAAGAGTATTTGTATCACTTGAAGTACATGGTCATGTTGCAAAACAATCGATTATGTATAACATAACATAAGTAATATGATCATTTTTATCATGTTTATTAGTCTGTAATGGAAATCGAAATAAGAAGTTTGATTCTAATGGCAGATTATTAGGGTATTTAGTAGTCCAGTTTCTTACTCATTACATCCTCACACTATTTGTAAACTTTCAAAGTTGCCCCCATGTACTTTAACCTAACATGGCATGTCAATAGAATAAAGTCATTTTGAACGACATTATTGTTAGTTTATTACGAAGTTATGCCCATCCCCTCTTTCTTAGTATAGATAATATCGTTTGTTTTTTAAAAAAAGTCATGTTGATGATCAAATTAGTTGAAGTAGTAAACAACCTATGTAGAATCAATATCACCCGATCTGAATGTTTAGGCAAAATAGTTTCAATTAAAATTTGGACTATGGCTCCTCAATTTAATTCTGTACATTTATCCAAAATCTTTTAGATATAAGGTGTATTCCTACTATCAAGGTATTTGATTCTCTCTGGATCTTAGTGTCTGGGGTTTAAGGACTAGAAAATATGAACTATTTGTTTGTGTGAAAGAGAAATCAGAGCACTTAGTTTGTATGAAGTGGGTCAGCGGAGTGAGTTAATGAAGACAGTTGAATTCAAATTGAGTAATCTAAATTGTTTAGTCCTTAAGCTCTGGACAATGAAATCCGGAATGAATCCATCCCTATTCAAGGATCTGACCGTTCAATATTCTAGAAAGCAGGCCATACCTGTAAATAGACATGTTTAACTAAGAAAGAAACATAAAAATCTTAGAGTTGGCCCATAACAGCATGCCGATCACGTAACATGCATGTAAACCTCTAAGACGACAGGAACATAAATGCTCGAGGGCATGAGATGATGGGCCTCTTTGGTGGCCCATCTACTTTTGCTTGATATTTTTCAGTTTGTCAAAAACAAGCCCAATCATACATTCCAAGTAAAAAGTTTGTCAACTCCTCTCACTTGAAAATTTTGAAAAATCAGTTTAGAACTCGTTTGGAAAAGCTTTTAAATTGATTAAAAGTGCTTTTAGAAAAAAATATATTTGGGTTCTAAAAGAATTTGAAGTGCTTTCTTCAAGAAGCACTAATTGATTCAAGTACTTTTTCAAGTTTCACTTGTATTTTGTCTAGATCTTAGAAGTTTTTTTATCAAAAGAGTTTTCAGTTATTTTAAAAACATATTCAAACAAGCGCGAAAAGGTATATGCAAAACAAAAGGAAAAAACACCAAAGTGATTTTAGTGATTCAGTATTTCAGTGGTCCTTTCTACTTTTAACGACAAGCTGTTTTCAAAGGGTTTGGTGGTCCGAAAAGGAGCCATTCACAATTTGTTGGAATATCCACTTGTTGGGTGCCTACGTGAAGTGGCTCCATCCCAGTTGATTTGAACCGTTGGATTATCGCATAATTTTGCAATTAAGATCTCTGTGATGTTGAACATCTTCTTGTATTAATCAAATTGAATATTGCACTTGTACCCATTTTTCAACTTGTCATATAAACTAAAATTTTAAGTAATTTATTATACAAGCTTTCCAAAATCATCAATTTGTCATCTCATCCTAATTCCGTTAAGTTTTTCATCCAAAATAAGTCATGTGTCTCATACATAACTTGTGTTTAGAGTTATTTCTTTCATTTTAACACCCCACTTCTTTCTATTAAGTTGCTTTGGATTAAAACAATTCTAGGGTGTTCAGTTTAGCATGTCATGAAATCAAATTTTATATGTGCTCTGTAATATAAGAAACGAGTTGAGGTTTGGTGCTAGAAATGGAAATGGAGATGCATATACGCTGTTCAAACACAACGATCTGCATGAACACTCTCGAACCCAAAATTTAAGAGTTTTACTAAAGAAAAGTAAAGACCTTGTAAAAAAATCTTAAATGACATAAATAACCTTGAACACAAGTCATGTGCCTCGCACATAACTTACTTTGGATAAAAAAAACTTAATGGAGTTAGGATGAGATGACAAATTGATGATTTCAAAAAGTTTGTATGACAAATTGCTAAAAAATTTAGTTTATATGACAAATTCAAAAATATGTACAAGTTCATATGACATTTTAAAACTTTTCCCTTTTGCAATTTGTTGGAATATTCATTAACATGGTTTAAATCTTTATGCAAAGTTTAATCAAATTGAATATCGTTTAATTATTTATGTACAAAGAATGTAAAACGGGTCTGGTAGCACTTCATATTCTCATGATTAACCGTGCGACCATTTTGCTTGATACAAATATGATTGTCAATTTCATTGAAGGCCGTTAGTCATTTAGGTGATCCTTAAATATGGGTTAAGAAAATGTACCCTTTCGGGTTATACGCCAACTAAAAACTTGATGTATAATGAAGTGCATGTATTGGGAGGACGCATGTATGCACGGTTTCGATTATGAACATTCTCAATAATAAATGATCATGTTGCCATGAATAATTGATTATTATAGCAAACAGTTCCAAATAATCTTAGTCCGAAAATAAAGTATCAATATGTTGTTGTTACTAGCGATATTATAATAATAGTTACTTTAGACCTTTCTCCTGTTTTTATATGAATAGAAAAAGAGTCACATGTGATCTAATGAGCTTGTTGTAGCTACCTGTGGCAAGCCAGTTTCAATGGAATTGGTGGGTCGGAAAATGAACCATCTGCAAATTAAATCAGAGACCCTTTTGTTAGCTGCTTGAGTGTAGTGAAATCCATCCCAATTCACCCACAGTGACTGGTCTTTGCATGCCTTTCCCACCATTATTTCTTTCACATCCACCATAACCTTCCTCCACAGTGGATCTGGTTATTGTACTCCCCACCCTGACCACAACATGCTCTTATCGGCTCGAATCCTGCAACGTTTTTTACATTCACATTAACAAACTCGATATAAACTGTTGGAAGGTTTCTTACTTTCCAACGCGCAAAATCAGATGTGTATGTTTAAAATTTAAGCTTACCATGCTTCTTGGGATGGCTAATGAGGGAGTAGACATCAACGTATGTGACTGCAGCCAATGGAAGTTCTTTTCTTGATTGGACAATAGCTTCTTTTAATCCAAGGTTGAAAAACTGAGCAACTTCCTTGTAAGGTGTGGCACATCCGGCCTTGTCCACCTGTCCGGCTAAGATAGGTGGGCGGGACAATACGTACCGGAGGCAACCTACGGGACCTGAATTGTGTATCCAAAAGTATCTACCTCCTAGACCGTATTTATTCTATATATAGCAAGTACGTCACATACAAGTTAAATTGACAAATTAGGTAAAACACAAATTATTTTGCTATTTAACCCTTAATAAAATGTAGTAATGATCACACTAAGTACCTTGACAGTGTTTTTGAACTGATTTAGTACATCAGGAACATATGCTTTGACTTGGGTAGTAGATATGTTGAAGAATAACCCGGCAATTAGATCGTTCTGACCAATATCAAATGTGCATAAAGCACGAGAGACAAGATCTTCTGGTTTAGGCATTAGTTGTTCAAATACTCCACACCTACATTGAAGTTTATAGATGACACGTCGAAAATCGTATTATACTGTTGAAGTATTAGCGATATTAACTTACCACATTCGGATTTTAAAAGAGTACAGTTAGCTGCACTAGAGAAAACTACACGCGTATAAGTAGTATTACGAACCTTGACTACGAACGATTTGGGATCTTGAAGGAAAAATGTAGAACTCGTTGTATTGAACGTCCAAGGAGATCGGACTAATCCCACTCTGACGAAGAGTTGTGTTGGGAGGTCTTATGGTCGAGGACAACGTTGCAAAGTTGGCTCCATGAGTGAAGTTGCTGCCCATTGAATCCAGATATGCGCTAAGAAATGGAAATCCGAGGCTTTTAGCTGAAAAAAATGCATCCCATCGAGCCATAATTATTAGATAATTTTTCTCGAGCAATTATTTAGAAGTGTTACTAGTCCACTTGTTATAATATAAATCGTTTTCAATCATATGGGCAAAAAAAAAAAATGTGACAATAAATAAAAAAAAGTCGATGAACTGTATATTAGTGGATGTTAAAGTTTCGGTAATAACTACCAGTCTACCATATTTCACAAACTGTATGGATGGGAAGATGGCAAATGGAGTGTTACCTATGAAATCAATGACCAGGCGGACATCGCAATAACGACCGGCCAAGCAAATAGAAAGATTAAAAACAAAAAATTCTGCTGACATTAAGTATTTTAATGAGCTTGCTGATGATGCTTTCGATGGCAGGCAAATTTCGATGGAAGTGGTGGATCTGAAAGCGAACCATCTACCATCTGATCAAAGACTCTTTTGTTAGCCGCTTGAGTGAAATGCACACCATCCCAATTCACCCAAAGTGATGGGTCTTGACATGCCTTTCCCACCAAAATATCTGCTTGTTGAAATTGTACTGCCCACCATGACCACAGCACGCTCTTACAGGTTGCTTGAATCCTGCGACATTTTGTACCACATGCTTGTCAGCAAACTGTTGAAGAATATAAAACATCACATCCTAGTGAAGCTGTTGGACTGTTTCTTTGAAATCTTGACACAAACTTGGAGACATTAATATTCACCCCATAGAGGAAGTGATTTCAATCTAGTAAGGGCTTACCGTGCTTTTTTGGTTGGCTGATGAGGGAGTACTTGGCTGGGTAAACATCAACATATGTGATTGCAGCTAATGGTAGTTATCTTCTTAACTGAACCACAACTTGCTTCAATCCACGGTTGAAAAATCGAGTTCGTTGTAAGGCATGTCACAACCAGGCTTGTCCAGCTACGCGGCTGCGATTGGTACGTGGTCCAATACATATGGAAGACAACCAATGGAACCTGTATTGTGTATCCAAACGTATCTACCTCCTTGATCATATATATACTGCGTGTAGAATTAAAACACACATCACAACCAAATTAGCCAACATTAGTTAATTTTGAAAATGTTGTTATTAGTTAATTTTGTGTTGCTAATTACCTTAACAATGATGTTAAACTGATTTAGCACATCAGGAACATATGCCTTGCCTTGGGTAGTGGACATGTTCAAGAATAAACCGGCTGTTAAATCATTCTGCCAATATCAAATGTGTATAAAGCACGAGAGAAATCGTCTGCTTTCGGCATTAGCTGCTCAAAACTCCACCTGCATTGCATTAATGCAAGTTTTTTCAACTAATAAAACATTTAGATGTCCGTAGAAATACTTCTTGGTTCCTTACGTGTAAATTATAGTTTGCCACACATGCCAAATGCAAACATAACTCATTTTAATACAAAAAGAAAACGTATATGTACACATGTCAAATTCTGACCTCGACTACGAGCGGTTTGGGACCTTGGTTGAAACTCGTAGAACTCGTTGTGCTGAACGTCCAAGGAGATGGGACTATACCCGCTCTGGATGGTTGAGCCCGCCGTGGCAAAGTTGGCTCCATGTGTGAAGTTGCTTCCCACGTAATCAAGATATGCGCTAAGAACGGTAATGCGAGCCTGTCAGCTGCAGTAACGGCTGGCAGCCGGCAGGGCGGTGGAAGTAGGACTCTCCGTGGGGCAAACGCACCTGACCGAAAACTGCAGACAAGCCGCCGGTGTCAGAGTTTGAGTCGCCGAAGTTGAATATGGCCGGATATTTGCATGGAGATGACGAGGCTGCCAAAATAGCAGTCACAAGTAGTAGTTTTTAGAAATGTGATTGCACTCTCAGAGACAAAAAAACGTTAAAAAAGGATATTAAGAAGAAAAAGAAAAAGAAAAAGAAAAGGTAAGCACTTTCTTTCAGAAATCGGCTTATGGCTTTTGGAACAGAATTTGTATCTGTTGAGTTTCCCTTGAACTCTTTAGGCTCAATTTATTTTGACAGGAAGCGCTCTGGCTCCTTTCACGAGGGATCGGTTGCTCTTATCTTATGGCCATTTTACTGCGTATAAAACAATAAAACCTAGCCAAACAAGCATTCGGACTTCATGGCCCAATGGATAAGGCGCTGGTCTACGAAACCAGAGATTCTGGGTTCGATCCCCAGTGAAGTCGTCCTTTGTTTCAAATTTTAGTTTATTTTATTTTTTCTTTTTTTTTTTGTCAAAGTTGATTTTTTTTTTCTCTTCCCTCTTTCAGGTAGTCAGATATGTTCAGTTAAATAAAAAAAAAATTATAATCATGTTAATACAACGATATTTTGTGTTGATTTTAAAAAAGTTAATTTTTAAAGATAGCCTAGAAAATAAACGATCATCAATCAGAAAGAAATGAATAGCTACATTTAGAGTTGATTTTTCGCAGTAGACCAAAAAAAAGGTGTCATTACGTGAAATTTGAATAAGTAACTTTCAATCAAGGACGGATTCATTTGTTTTTTTCTTTTTCTGTTGGTGTGTGGTACAACCGCAACTGGGATACTTGAAAGTTGAATCAAGTGTTGAGTATTGTGACATGCTTAAACGATTGAAACCGGATGATCAGAGAATGCGCGGTCCATAATTCGGTTGGCTATCCACTGGTTTGCAGCATCAGAATAGTGCCCTCCATCCCAGCTAATGTGCTGAGAAGGATTGCTACAAGAAGCTCCAGCTGCAGTGCCATTAACAATAGCTTTCACCCCACAGTGGACAGGGAAATCACCGTAGCTTCCACAGCATTAAGTTAGAGGACTCGTAAAACCTGCGAATTCCACACAACGGAGAAAAAGAGTTTAGGGATTTGGTTAGGCCAAGGAAATGGAGTAGTGAAACACTAGCTAAAGGCATGAAGTGGAAGTTTTGATCGGATGTGTTCATTAGAAAGAATCGATTTAATACACTTCTTATGTACCCCACGGAGTAGAACTTCGTCAGTGGATGTAAGGTTTTACCTATCCCGAATAATGTTAACTTACCATACTTCTCCGCCTTCACTTGTAAGCGTGTATTTTTCTGCATAGATATTGACGTAAGTAAGAACTGCTTCTGAAAGTTGGGCTCTTAGTTCAAGCACTCTCTCCTTGAGCTGCACGTTAAATTCTTGAACCGCCTCATTGTAAGGCTTCAAGCAACCTTTTTTGATCCAGGTTACCGGGTTCTGGCAGCTTATACGCAAGAGTTGAAGGCAAGCACCCGAGCGGACCTGTGTTGTGACTTGTGAATCCAAAAAACTCTTGCCCCTTGTTGGTAGAGTTGCTGCACATATAAAACAATCTGCAATCTGTTTATAGAGCCATCGGGATTTTAGGCATTTCATGTGACACCTAGGTTGGAAAATAATCTAGAGATAATGTTTCTGACTTCGTGTTATTAAGGTTGTTACCTCAGTTGATTTAGTAATTATGAAACTTGTTACCTCAGTTGTCAAGGCTAACTGCGCTGCTATGGTGGAGACGGATGCCAGCACTTGGCGATAGTAATAAACCTCGCACGGGCCATAAGAACCTCCTACTTCATGAAATCGACAGAATAGCCCTTACAGATTTGAAGGTCAACGGGCAGGCAGGAAGCAGAATGTGAAAGCAAAAAAATTATGAAATAGAAAATATGTTGTGATATCATCACAAACATAATTGGATTTCATTTGTTTGGTGTCCACATCGGTCGTTTTATTTTTATTCAAGAAGAAAACAAAGTTGGATCCTTAATTTAAACACACTCTCATCTCAATGATTAAGTACAATGTTAAATCTGTACCAAACTTATAGCACAAGTTATCTGCTTGAAGTTGAATCAGAACTGTGGAGAACTGTGACACGCTTCAGTGATTGATACTGGAGGGTCGGAGAATGAGCCGTCCATAATTTGGTTGGCTATCCATTCATTTGCAGCATCGGAATAGTGCACCCCATCCCAGCTAATGTACTTCGAAGGATTGCTACAGAGAGCCCCAACTTCAGTGCCATTAACAATAGCTTTCATCCCACAATGGACGACATGGTTATCACCGTAACTTCCACAGCATTGAACTAGAGGACTAGAAAAACCTGAAATTTCCAGACGCCAGGGAAAAGGGTTTTGGATATGCGAAAGAAATGAAGTATAGAAAGCTAGCTAGACGCATGAAGTGAAAAAACTTACCGTACTTCTCTGCCTCATTGATAAGCGTGTATTTTGCTGTGTAAATATCGACATAAGTGAGAACTGCATCAGAAAGTTGGGTCCTTAAGTTAAGCACTCTTTCCTTGAGCTTCCGGTTAAATTCGTGAGCCACCTCATTGTGAGGTTTCAAGCAACCGTTTTGGTCCAGGTCGCCGGGTTCTGGCAGTTTATATGCAAGACTTGCAGGCAAGCAGCCAAGGGGACCTGTGTTGTGAATCCAAAAAACTCTTGCTCCTTGTTGGTAGAGTTGCTGCAAAACTACCAATATCATTATTTTGTTTAAGATTTTAATCTCTTTAAGAACATTTACGAGTTCATATACACTCTGTTGACAACTAAATTTACACAGTTTTGCCATTTCATGTGACAAATATGTTAAAATGTAGCTGTCTTCATGGTTAACAATTTTCCACTCAAAAAAATCACAGGTTACGCCCAAAACACTGGTCATCCGAGTCCATAAGACTTCAAAATGAAAATGGATAGCTCCTTATGAAACTTATTACCTCTATTGTGGAAGCAAACTGTGCAGTGATATTGGAAAGGGATGCAAGCACTTCATCCAGAGTCTTCAATCTTAATCCCGCATGAAGATCGTTTTGTCCAATGTCTAATGTGTACAAGGCCTTGGAGAAGTCGCTTGGTCTCGGGAGGCTGGCCCTGACCTTTGAGCTTTTACCTGAAAACCAAGCTTATGATTCAAGTTATTTTCTCTACAACTCGATAAGACAATAGACTTCCTCAGCAACAATATATCCCAACCTTCAGCAAAACCCTCATTCGCACGTGCTTTCAACTGCGCAAATTGGGCAAGCTGCACGTTAAGAGAGATGGGGCTATATCTCGCTTCAAACATCTTGCCATCTAATGGCTGAATGGTAGATCCTCCGGTCGCAAAACTTGCTCCATGATAAAAATTAGTTCCAACAGCATCCAGATAAGCACTCACAAATGGAAACCCCAACTTTTGAGCTGCAAGATTGCCAAATGCAGTTTCTAATTGTCTTAAACATAATGCATGATACATTACAACACAGTTGATGCACTAACCAATAAAATCGATCATGAGACGCCCGTCTGAAAACCTGCCTGAAGGTTTACCAAAGAATGTATTGCCATAGGGGGCAGGAAGTCGATAAAATGTGGCCGATAAACCACCCGTGTCGGAGTTAGAATCGCCAAAGTTAAACATTGCTGGGAATTGGCAACCATTACTTGATATGTTTTGTGGTGCAAGGCCTAAGAAAACCGAAAGGGCACCAACTAAAACCACTCCTACTGCCACTGCCTCCACACTCTTCTTAACTCCCCAAGGGCCTCTCCACCACCTATTGATACTACCAAAACTTGCACGGTCCATATGAATCTCCTCCTACTGCTTTCTCTCACTCCCTTTTCACCAAACAAGAGATAGTGATGTCAACCACACAATCCATTAAGTCATTCCACACTCATTGAAATCACGTTACGCGAGTCCCTCAACCTATCGGTTGAGTCACATCGCTTCACTACCCTTAGAGAACTGAAAGTTACTTAAGGAAGAACGGACTCAAAGGAATTGTTCGGACTGCTTTTAAAATGATTATAAACGTTTTCAAACAATTAAAAGCGCTTTTGACACTAAAAATAAAGGGCTCGTTTGGTAGTAGTTTTAGAATGCTTAAAAGCGCTTTTGATGATAATGTTTTTGTGACAAATCCTAAGTAAAAATGTAAGTAAATCTTGAAAAGCACTCGAGTGCCTCCTACAAGAACTGCATAACTGGTGTCTCTTGAAATCCAAAAATATTTTTCTCAAAAACGCTTTCAGTTACTTTAAAAACGCTTCTAAACAAGCCCAAAAGCGTTTCTAGGTTATGAAAGAACATTTCTTTAGTGTTTTTATCTAGTGGCGCTTGAATTTTCAATAAGAATTTCGACATGTTACCAATAAAATCACTTTTAGCAAAAGCATTTATGACACAAGGGAAAAAGATGAGGGTGAAACTTTCACCTTGAACAATAGGCGATGGAGCTAGCTAGATGGTTGTGTTCTTCTGCATGGATTGCGCTTCTCTCTGTGGCTCATTTGTTGAAGAAAAGAAACTGATTTGGGGCTCCATAGGATCGGTGGAGGAGACCTTGCAAATTTAGGTCAACGGGCAGCAGGTACCAGAACGTGAAATGTAGACATTAAAATATTAAAACAAATGCGTAATGATACCATCAATTCATCAACATCTTCATCATCTGAATTGGGAATATTGCTGGTGAAAGATCCAACGATTCAGACTGCGCCACATCGGTTTCTCCTGACCGAGTTTATTAAACTTGCAATTATATAAAATTTAGAATTTATAAATTGACATGCACCAATTCTTTTATTTAAATTCATAAACATAGAATTTTAAAATTTCCGCATGGAAAAAAAACCTTGGAATTTGGGACCTCTACTCCCCAAGTTTAAATACCATGTAAATATGTGTTATTTCCCAATTTATAAGATTTAGAGCTTAAAAATAACAAATTATGTATTCAATTTCATTATTCTTTTAGGTTAACCAAACAAGAAAATTCACAAATTCTAAAAATAAATTCCGTTATTTCAATTTATGTCATTTTAAAATTCTTTAATAATTTTAAATTTCTTCATTTAAACATAGAGTGAAGTGTAATAGGCTAGAGATACAGCTCCCTACCATGACATCCTTGTATAGGCAACCCACAAAACTTGGCATTAACTGTGGCCCATAAGCTAAATACAGAAAACAAGTTTAAACACACATCAATGAGCAACGTAAGATGGAATTTGAATCGACGGCTTACCCAACGTTTGATATTTCGATCATTTTGAATTTTCAACCGTCGAATAAAATGAATTGAAAAAGATCAAAAGCTCAAAATTAACAATGCTTATCTTTATGTGCTACATTCCGTACAAAAATTGAGAAATTTGAGTTCCGGGACTTTCTTGCACATAATATGGCACCCAGCAACAAGGTCATGCAAAATAGAACCAAATTATGAGTATATTACCCTGACGATCGTCACAAAAAATAGTCTAGTGAGTCCCGTAGTGTTCAGTAAAATTGGATCCTAAGAACAATACAGGCTCCTTCACATAAAAAAAAAAGACAAAAAAGAAAGCGGAAAACTGCAATTTTACATAGTTTCGAGATGTAAGAACAGATCATCACCGCAAGAGTTTTCCCAGTGCCGGTAATCAATAATGCTTGCTCCATTTTTCCCCAGAGCAAAATGAAGAAAACAAAAAGAGTGAGGCAAAATATTATTTGGTTCTGGTTGTCGGAAGTGCTAGGCAGTTCAACGAATCCATTGAAACGGCGCAGTTGTTCACCATCTTTCTCTTGACCTTGCCCTGCCAAATAAACAACAACCGAACATCACATGCATTTTGAGGCATTCATAACCAATATTTAGCTCCGAGAGTAAATATATCCTTCAACTTCTCCAAAATTCTTAAAGCTTCTAGCGAAATTTTTTTGACCGTTACATATCTTTTGTTCTAAAAGGGATGTGCTGATTGGTTTTTTTACAACTACACACAATTAACCGACCCAAAATGTTCTTTCGTAAAGCATAACATATCAAGTTTCTTTCGTAAACAGGTTAACTTCCTCCCTAAGACTGTAAAAAGTAAAGCACAGAAGCACTTTATTCTCACCTGTCCATGTCTCTGTTCCCCAGAAATCCTCCTCTCTCCCTGCCACCATGGAATGACCTTCTGTCATCAAAAGGCCTTGCCCACGGATCTCCTTTGCCTTGCGAGGGAGGCCCATCAACATATTCCATGCTTCTAGAATCTTCAAATGACCCGGAATAAGAAGGCGTCCTCTCAAAAAAGCTACCACCCCTGCCTGCTGCAGACCCAGGCCTACCTGCTCCAGACCCAGGCCTATCGATGGCCTTCTGCCCAAAGCGAACTTTGTCATCCAAATTTCGGATCAATGTCTCCAATTTCCTTTCCTTCTGAAGTACTATATCACGTAGACTTGGCTGGTCACCGCCAGACTCTCGCACAGTTTCACTATTCACTTTATCCGTAGATTCTTTCTCCAGTTCCTTCTTTAGATGATCTATTTCTTCCCTTAAAATCTTTTCCTCGTCTGTTTCAGGTCTGCAACAAAAGGCTTAAGAGATCAATTCCACAAGACAACCACAGGTTACATATAAACACGACAAGAAAACTGAAAAATATATAGTTTGCCAAATGCTTACAAGACGAACTACTATAGTTTATTGATAAGGTTTCATCTGCCTACAGCATTTTACAAAGCTAAATTACTTCCTAGTGGAAAAGGTAATCCAGTGAACAATATATATGACCAATTAAAAAGCAAATTCTAATAATTTTGGCATGTGGGTGCAATCAAATTTGATTATAAAAAATATTATTATCTTGTGATTAGATCAGACTCATTCAGCAAAGAAGAAGACAACAGACTGTATCAGCATAACATCCAGACAACTCCCAATTACCACATTACAAAAACACAAGAAGTCAAAAGACATGGTCTTCCGCATTGTCTCTAATTGCATAGTTGTCTGCAATGAATATTACTTCATCGGGGAGGGGAAGAAAACAGTTTGTGTAAACTTTTTTCTCCCCCGCACCACAAACAGACAACAATAGGACAAGAATGTGCCCCAAGAGGAGGTACTAACCCAAACATAATCTAATCGTTTCAACTATACACTAGTCTACTTATTTCGATACAAACTTTTCCAACCGAAACATAAACTCAATACACATAATCCAAACGGTACTAACCCATCTAACTTCTTTGCATGGAATCAACCCGCCATTACCATGCATATTCAAACCATACAATCAACCCAACTCACTTGGGCAACTCTTAATAGCAAAAAAAATACATAACAATCAACCCACCATTACCATGCATATTCAAACCATTACTTAGCTGAATGCACTACCTACAAAATTGACATAAAAGAAGTCGAAACCAACCTGTCAATAGCCTGATGCTCCAGCTCGAGATCAATCTTCCGCCAATCCTTACCCCGCTCCTCCAGCAAAACCTCCCTTGGCTTGGCATCACCAAAGGGGTTTACTTTCGGCCGCGGCTTCACTGCATTATCACTCCCATGCAGCCCGGGCCCTTCAGACCGGCTTGACTGAGCACTCGAAGGCCTGCTTGAGTGGGCACTCGTCGGCCTACTCGTCTTCTTGGCTTCAATTTCCGACTCCAGCTTCTTCCAATCCATCCCTTTCTCAGCCAAAATCTCCTCCCTAGGTCGAGCTGCTCCGAATGGGTTTGGCTTATTGGTCTTCACAACCTGCAATGGCTCATTCTCGCCCTTCGGAGGATCCAACACCAATTTGGGTCGCTCTCTCTCAACTCTGTCGACCTCACGTCCGCCTCTAGCCCAGCGATCCGGCTCTGCACCCGAATCGCGAAATCCAGACCCAAACGTGGATGACCTAGAAGGAGCAGGCTTCTTCCCAACAGTCCAGTTATCAACCTCGTCTGCCCTAGACCAAGCTGGGGCGCCCATCATACCACCATCACCACCACCCCCAGCACCACCACTACCGAGCGAGCTATACCGGCTCTGCCTACTCGAATCCGCAGAAGGAAGAGATTTTTTAGTCATTGCCCAATTGTCAACCTCGTCCGCCCTTGACGGCTGATCGAAATCAGAAACCCTAGAAGGCGGGCCCCTCCGGTCGTCGTCGAATCCACCGTAGGATCTTCTTCCACCGCCACCCCATGACCCGTCTCCGCCCTCTCTGTCCCCGTCCCGACCCGGATTTGGACCTGAGCGACCATAAGAGGAAAACCCGCCACCTAGGCGACCGTACTGCATATCTTCGGCAGAGCGCTCCTTGGGGCCGGTAGGGAGGCGCATCATCTCGTCGGGAGTGAGACCGACCCGATTAGAGACCGGGGTGCCGGAAGAGTTGTAGAATTCGGAGAGGCTCATCTTCTTCTTCTTCGGCTTGGCGCTGGAGGCTTCCTTTAGGCTGGGGAAGCTCTGAGCCGCGAGCTCCTCAGCCTCCCGCTCAGTCTCCCGCTCAGTCTCGGCGGCCCAGGCGCCGACACCTCCCCAGGGTTTGGCCATCGTCGACGGCTTGCGAGATCTGAAAACGCAGTTCGAAATGAAAGGGAGAAAGGAACCAGAAAATTTCAAAAAAATGGGAAGAGACGAAGGCGAAATTAATATAAAAAGTGGTTTTATTTAAAAAAAATGAAATTAAAAAGAAAATAGAAAGTGGGGCTCCGTTAATGGAGCCGGAGCTCCGAGAACTTGTGAAGTAGAGGGAAAGGCAACAGTTGGCGCGTGCAATAGTGGGCGCGTGAGCGTTTGTGTGTGTGTTGGATGATGATGTACAGTTGTACCGAGCCAGAAACACAAGCGAGACATACAACTCACCAGCTAATCAGCTACGTGGCGTTTTCTTAGGGCGGTCTGGTTGTGAAAGTGGGGCCGCGAGGCCGAACTGGAACCGTTGGTTTTGCGGCCTCCGAGTGAGTCGTGGGGCTCATTCAAGTTTGAATAGCTGCTTATTATCGTAAATTGGATGCTGATTATACATCTAATCATGTGTTACGTATTATTTTATTTAATTTTAATTTTTTAAATTTAGAAAAAATATCTTTAATATGAAATTAACTAAAATTAAATAAAAAAAACACTTTACATATAATAAAGTGTATAATGTTCATACATCGTAGTTATAATGATCAAGAAAAATACTTTACTTCTTGTTTTTGTGGTGTGGGTATGTGGTCCGCTGCATTTTGACTTCTTGGTAGTTAACAGTTGTGATGCTCTTTTTTATTGGACCTGGCTTTTCTGACCTACCACTTCACGTGTACTCCTATTTCCTCTTATTTGTGCGGTTACGGTTAAACTACGTTAACATTTTATGTTACTATTGATTTTTGTTTTATTATCTCTATAAAAAAGTCAATATAAAATGTTGACATGACTTAACCGTGACCGTACAAAATAGGAGATGATAGGAATGTATAGGAAGTGTGAGGGTAGAGAAGCCGGATCCCTTTATATTGGGCTTTTTTCTTTTTGCAAAAAACAAAGTAATGTTAAGAGAATTAAATATTAAATTTGTAAATTATGTAGTGTTTCTTAAATAAAAAATAAGCAAATTAATTAATAATTTAATTATTAACAATTACATTATATAGTTTTAAAATATAATTTAAATAGTTAGTATTCACAGTATAACCATTAAAAAAATAACCTCTATTATCGAAAATTCAATGAGAGTTTTTCAATTTTTTTTTTTTATACTTTTAATTTATAGGTTTGGCCCGTTTGAGCAATCTACCATGTGAAAGCACATTGCATTTTGTTTGTGAATAATCTATTTGTTCTCACTTAATGGTTACAATTAAGCCACATCAACATTTTGTGTTAATTTTTTTTTTTGTAAACAAAAAGACGAAAAGTGAAAAAGAATAGGATGGAAGGGAAGTGGATTCGTAGGAGAGAGAATCCTATTTCGTATTTTTTTATTTATCTAAAACATAAGTCGTCTCGGGTTCGAAACCCACTGCTGGTGTGGTAGCCAGACTTGTGATCATAGGAAAGCTAAAATGCCTTTATGAGTCTTATCGGTCCTCGAAAATGATAAATAATCATGGTTTGCCATCAGTTATCTCCCTTGAAAAAAATGCACATAAGTCAGTATGTCACGTAATAATATTAATATTAATGAAGGAAAAATAATAATTTTTAGTAAATTTATCGTTTTTGCAAATTGAATCTTATTGCTTTAAAAGTGGGAGCGTGGGAGTGGAAAGCTTTCTTGTTGTGGAGGTAAAGGGGAATCAATAAATATAGGCGAGGACAAACATCCCAGCGCCACTAAATTTTGGAATAAATGGAACGTACCCATGTTCAACTTGACCAAATGCTCCCTCTAAAGCTATATGATAGGAGGAGGCAAAGGTTGTGCTGAAACTCTACTTTTTGTAACCAAAACTAAAAGCTTTGTACTTTCTAATTGGATGGGCTCTCTCTACATCCTCAAACTCATCACATGATTGGTTAAAAATTTAATTTTGTTAAAAAATTGTGTTGAAATATTCCACGTCAATTAGAGATAGAGAAGAAAAATAGTTTAAATACTTTAATTTCACACTAACTAATACGAGGTATTTTGTGATAAAACATCACACCTGTTAGATTGTGCATGTAGTAATTAACATGCTGAGAACCATATAGTGTTATTGGAAATGGATTTTTTGCCCGTCTCTCTGATAATTTGACAACATGTTGTACACATCTATCCTTGAGGCACAACTCAAGGATAGTTGCAGATAAACCTTCGGTTTTCAGCTTAGAGTATTGAGAGTAGTCATTCATCAACGTTTAGTTGGTGTAATGACTATAATTGCAACAAAGTTTACCGTTTTAATCATGGTTCGTGAAAAGTTCATATCATTTAGATCCTAAATGCCACCACATATAAATAGATACGTGTGTTTTGCATGAAAAGGACTATCCTCAAATTAACTTTCTCTCCTCCGGTAAGAGTTTTTCTCACTATTGTGTGAGTGTTCTTTCGTTTCATAGATTAGCGTCGCCATAAGTCCCAATTTTGTCTTGGGTCGATGGCAGTCCCGTTGCCTGCCCTTCTTGTCCTCCTTCTTCTTTTTCTCTCCTTGTCCGTGCTCCCATCCCTTTGAGCACTTTAACCCAAGCCTCAATGTCCCCTTTCTCCTCCATCATTTGGTTCCATCCTCTCCCTTTTCCCTAACCTCCGTGTTGTGCTTTTTCCTCACTAATTTTCCCTTCATTAATTTCATGTTTTGGCTACATCATCTCTCGAATCATAGTTAAGTCCCTTCGGGTATTGTCGGTGTTCCCGGCGTTTTGCCGCGATCTATGAGAAGGTGTGTAGAACTTTAACTTGGGTGGTCACACCACCACCTTTGTTGGTCCTTCCCAGTCTTCACTTCTGTCGGTGATGTTGCTCGTGGGATCTCTCTTCCTGCGTGCTTCCTTTGTTTTATGGCGGAGGTCGCTGTGGTGGTCCTTGGAGAATGATGCGGCTGCTTTTCCTTTTCACTTTTGAGTTTCTTGCTAACTTGGTCTATGGTGCTCCCGGGGCGGCGATTGTGTGGCAACAACAGCGCAGCGAGGGTTATAGTTTGCTTTTTGTGTGTTTCTTTGTGCTTGTTGTGGGCTCAACCTTTGGGTTGGTGTTTTTTTGCTTTGTGATCCATCTTTTAGTCTAAATTCAGATCCTAGGAATCCGTAAATCATATCCGTAAATCCTTCATCGTACAGTTAGAAATTGTTTTAAATATTTTTATTTAAAATTAAATACAAAAAGTATCTGACAAAAACTGATCACACGATATACGATGAACAGACATGATTTACGGATCTTCATATCCTCATCAAAAATATCCGGAGAGGATCCTGTTGGTTTTAATCTTGCGCCTTGTTTGAATTTGGGTTTTTGTTTATAAAAGTTTGTTTTGTTGGTAATGAATTATTTTCATTGCTTCTTTTTTCGAAACAACAAACATTATTCCACTTAACACCTTCCAACTTCACATATATTCCCCTATTTTTCAAAAGGGAAGTGTTATCGGCACTCAAAAAATCTCATTCTACACTTTTCACAAGTGTATTTTTCTTTCTAAATATAAAAAGTTTGAAGTGTAGAATGAGAAATTTGAAATACCAATAACAATTCCCTTTCAAAAAACCCGACTTCCCCACATCAGCAACTCCACGCCCATATTCTAATACTCCACAATAAATTTGTTTCGACACACCATATTTTACTAACACACAATAATGTGGTTCAAATACAGCTACCTTAATTCAGAAGTTACCAAAATTATTGAGGGACTTGTATCTCAATAACTTTGCATCCAAAGTCTCGAATTCAATTACCGTCTCACCAAGTCGATTTACCCTTTCGCGCCAATATCGCTCATCAAAAACGAAATAGCGATGGCTTAACCATTGACCTCGTCAAGGAAAGAATTAGCACCCCGCATCCCCTGCTCTCGCTCCGCCACCAAAGCCTGAGTCTTCCTCTGCATCGCCAGCAGCACGCTGTGCCACGTGTTCACTCTTGAATTGACCTTCCCGTACACCCCCACGTTCACGTCGTCCAAATCCCGCGCCTCCACCGCCAGAACCTCACGCGCCTCCGCGCCGTCCAGCAACCACATCAGGCACGAGCAGAACCCCTTCGCGATCTCCGAGTCGCTGTCAGCCCGGAACCTCATCCTCCCCACCTCGTCCATCTCTGCCTCCACCCACACCTGCGTCGAGCACCCCTGGACCCGGCTCTCCGGCTCCCGCGCACACTCACTGTGCGGCGGGAGCCTCGCCGCGTAGTGTAGTAGCCGCTTCACGCGGTCAATTGGCTCCGACAGAGACTTGAATTCCAAAACGAGGCGTTTCAGCTTGTCGGCCACCCTCTCCCTGGGCTCCGACGGCCGAGCCTGCGTCGCCGTCAGAGCCAACGCGTTCGGGATTCGAATTCCTCGACTGGGGATGCATTTGATGGACAAGAAATTTATGTTGTTGTTTTGGGTGTCAAGTTTCAATTTGGAGGGTACAGGGTTGTGGAATTGGCGGTTTGACGATGACTCGGCGGCGGCGGAGCGGGCGGAGGAGAAATGAGGGAGTGTTGTTGTTGTAAATGCGGTGGAGTTCATGTTTGGAAGGAGAGAAAGTGATGGAAAGTGGGAAACTGGAAGTTATGGAGAGCAAGAAAATTGGAGATACTTCAAGTGCAGTGCGTCTTCCCTCGTTGTCTGCCGCGAAGTTTCAATGAGAGTGAAAAATGACGATATTTATAAAGGAGGGATTGGTTCAATAGGTCGCCACGAGGGAGAGTCGATACGAGCCGCCAAACATTACCAAATTGAAGTCCTAACGTCTCTTCGACTTTATTTTTTTGGGATTAAATTGATTTTTGATAGAGTAATAGTGTTTTTGATTTAAGTAGTTAGTTGTTAAGAGAAGATAATCAGTGAAAATTAAACTTGTGCTAGAACGCATAAACATAATCGAACATCATTTGCGAGAAATATATTTATATTTTTTTACGGGTATATAGAAAACAATTAATACTAATTACATGATACTTCATTTCATCTTAGTGTTGTAATGTGATTTGATGATCGAAATTGTCCAAGTGCTAGATTATTTCTTTAGTAAGTTTGTGTTGTTAGAGTTCACTCTCAGTCACCCTAAGACAGGAAACAAAATATATTGTAGATGCCATCAGGGGCGATGGAAATAGGGATCCAAGTGGAATGTATACATGTGAAGATCTTTTGAAGACTTCTGAATGTTTGGTAAGGTTTCCTCTTGTGCCTACTAAATGTTTGATGTAATACATGTTATGGCATATCTCAACAATTTGTGTCAACATCACTCAACAAATTCTCTCTATATTATTTATCAGATTGCTTCGCCATATGTTGATAATTATTGACATGTACGCAACATGGTTTGACTAACAACCACAAGCCCACCAAGTGTTAAACGAAATGCTGCAATGAATAAACTAAATTCTTTTGCGCACTTTATGCTTTGTTTTTATTTTAAAAAAAAAATTATATTTAACACTAAAATCCCAAAATTCAAAATTTAAATCTGCTACTGGATGCCATGTGATTTCTATAGACGGTCTCCTCCCCTGAATACTGTTCTACACAACAAACCAATAACCAAAACATAGATTCAGAGAATATACTCATATAATTAAGTGAACTTAATCTAACTAGGACAATAATAATATAACATAACATAATCATACTCCCATACTTAAATGACTAATTATTTATAAATTCTTTTTACAACGTTATGACTTGTGTGCTTACGTAGCCAAATCCACTAATTAATTCTTGTAACTCATGATTATAAGTAACCCTACAATTATTATGGGTGCACACATGAAAGATGAACCTTTATAATGAGGGATGTATTAACCGTTAAGTGGTACTTATTCTTAAGTTGTACTTGAGATTTTTTGAGATGATTGTTTAGGAGAAATTAGAATTTTCTGCATTTTTAATATTTTTTAGATCAAACATTAATTTTTTTTTTAAGATTGACACCACTCTATTTATCATTGTTGAATGAATTAAATTTTGAGATTAGTATGGTAAATATACACAAATCTCAAAATTTATACACATTCAATTGTATTACGTAGGGCGGTAAGCATAAAAGCGAAAAAATTAAGGTGTCTCTATTAAAAAGCGACATATTTTTACAAGGCTTGACTCATAACATGATAGACATAAAATACAAAAAATTGATGTTACACTTTATTCTCGTTCAAAATATTATTTTTATCTTTATTTTAGATCGTGTTTGATATGTCGCATTCACCTTTGTAATCGCAAAATTATCCAAAAATGTGCATAATGTGCAGCTAGTGATGTAACATTCTTGGAAGCATTTGTGTTTCTTTTTTTTAAATTTGTGCGTATCATGCGGTCATAAATTATTTTAAATACTTTTATTTAAAACTAAACACAAACAGTACTTGATAAAAACTGACCGCACAATATGATGAACAGACATAATCCACAGATTTTCAAAATTCTCATCAAAAGAATCCAAAGAGAACCCGTTGAATGTTTGACGACCGCAGACAGTGACAATCAGATGACATTAGGCATGACGTCATAACATAAAAATAACGAAAAAGATAGATTTTAGCCGCCACCAACTAAAATAAGAACACATGTCGAAATGGACGACATGTCGTATAAAAAGTGAAGACCATCTTATTCTTTCATTCTCAAAGGTAAATATTTTTCCTTCCATGATGGGGCCTGCATATCACATATATTACAGCATGTGCCACTCCCCTTTTCCCTTTTACTTGCGGATAAAGAAAGAAGGGGAAGGAGAAACAAGCAAAACTAGACCCCAAAAACGCTCTGGATTATACTGCACTAACTGCAGGTCAGGATAATCAGTGCAGCCCCGTGCGACGGAACCGAAACTGAAATTGTGTCGCCTACAATCCCCAAGTCTTTTCCGGTCCATTCTTCTATTCCCCTGCACGAGCCGCTGGCCAATTTCGTCATTGGAAGTTCTTTGGCTATGTCTGCTTTTTGCGCGGTTATAGTAGCCCAGTCGCCAAACAGATTGAAAAACGCTACGTATACTTCATCTGTAATTGCAGAGTCGCAAACAGAATTAGTTGCATTTACATCGATAAAGAAAAAAGAGTTGAGGAAATTGCGGCATGACCTGGGGTTCCAGTTGCAATCCAAGAGCGAGCAACATCAGTGACGGCTTTGTTATCTGAACATGTGATCAACTTGTAATTTGAGACTTAAAACCGTGATGGAAACACAATTTCAAGACTCGCCGACAGCATCAATGTATGAAGAGGCACTCGCGTTTTAGTTTATTACCTTCAAAGGAATCAATTCTTGCGCAGAGGCCGGAATAACTATTCACCAAGGTTCCATTGGGGTTCAACTCCCACATCTGTTAAGATCAGATATGCCATTTCAAAAAGTTGCTCATCCGCGGGATAATGCATTGCGTGCAGCTAGTTCAGATTGAACTCTAAGTGGTGTATCTATGTATGATATCACTTCTGTATAGAATTCAAAAGATCTATGAATCGGGACTTAAGATACCTGGTTCGCATCCCATCTACAAGGTGAAAGGAAACCTCTCTTAACGTCCTTCGAAGTAACCTTTTGCTTAGGAGAAGCATGCAAGCAAAGGTCCTTCCCGTCACTTGCTAATAAATTGACCTTCCCCTGATATCGCTGTTTGTCCGTTATGTCTTCATCTCTATATCAGCATTGAAACCAGATTAATCAAAATCGTAACAGTGCAAGTAAACATAATAAAATTGAGAATAATGGATCAGCAAAAGATAAAGAAATATTACATTGCCAAGAGAGAATCTCTTTTGTTTAAGCAAAAAGGTGCCCAGTGTTTGCTCCTTGAGTTATCTCTCCAGCAGATGTGTTCAAGATCCCGGTCAAGAGCTTGAGCAGACCAACCAATTGCTTTCGCATCTGCACAGGTAGTGAGGCCAAGAGAATGTGTATTTGAAGTTTTTGAATTTGTCAGATGTCTTCTTGATTGCTTGGTGTGAACTCGATCATCTTGCTTAACGGCTGCGCTCACATTACTTGTAAAGAGTGTAAACTGCAAATGCAAGAAGTCAAGATTTATGTTGATATCATGAACAAGTCTTAGGATTTTACGAAATTACGTTTTTCATCATACCTCCCTATTATTTGAGCTAAAAGAATTTATGTCCAGCAAGGCATCATCTGTGAGCATTCTCATTAATTCATCTGTAACTTTTCTCAAATCTCCTCCAAACATGATAGGAGACTTGGCCATAGACCACAAAGTCATCTGTGAAAACAAAAGCACAAGGTCAAAAAGATTGCTCAGGGAAAATCGAGGACTTAAAAACGACCTTGTCCATGTATGCACCTGTGTTCTTTGCTCATCCAAATTGAGATTCGACCATCTGTGTGGACCGTCATTTGTTTCTAAGGTTTCAACAAGAACCATTCATCAAATATAGAACTCAAATTTCAACAGTTTGAGCGAATAAGGGGCATTTAAGAAAATCTGAAATTGCCAGAAGATAACCCTGAACCGCGTTAAAAAGATTAAATCTAGAACTATCCGGTTGAAGTTGCTCAGCGGTATTAGCATGGACAATGTTGGTCCTAGATATTAAACCGATTGTTTTGGCACTCGAAAATGTTGTATATCTAAGAATATCGAAAGGAAAATATTCATTGCCAATTTGCCATATGAATGAAAGGAGAAGGCTGAGTCCAATAACCTGGTGCACTAAGCCATCCCAACGGTAGCATATCTAAATCAGGCCATGACTTCCCCAGCATGCCTTTGGCTCCTATCATATTAGCAGCAGCAAAATCCCTGATACGGAATGTATTGTGTTCAGCACACACGAGAAACAACGAGTATGTGAATTCAATCTGAACGAAAACCTTTTACTGAAAGACAAGTTATTCACCTGGCTACATCAAAATGGGCTAGGATATCTCCCCATGAATCCCAGTCATCCCCGGTTATACGGTACATGTTGACCATCCCATTTATAGGCTTGGCCATATCAGGCGTTGCACTGGTTCCGGGAGATAGAGAATATAATATAGGCTGTTGCCCAAGCGCACGCAGTTGCTGCAGATACTGGAAAATATACATCGTTTCTTAAGTATAAGGCTATAAGCACCCACTCTCCACCACAATATTAATGAAGATACATGTGTATGTCTTCGAGAGAGAGAGAGAGAGAGAGAGAGAGAGAGAGAGAGAGAGAGAGAGTTCGGGGGCAATGGGAAGGGAGAAGAATTATACCTCTGAAATATAGGTTATTTCAGGTACATCTAAGTCATCACCAAACACGCAGTCATTTTTTACTGCAAGGGGGTTAAGTAGAGAAGCAACGAAACAGAGTTAGCAAGGGATAAAGTATTCCAATCATACGTAGGCCGTCATCCATAACTGATGCAATCTTAATACCGAACCAAGCACAGTAATTTCTATAAATATCAGTTGGCTTACCAAAATCAACACCCCAGTCAGCATACTGGTAGTAGAGTGACCTCAAGAAGGCCTTTCCGGCATCCAACTCGGCATTCACACTCATGAATCCCTTGTCCATCCATGCGCACCTCCTGTCGGGGATCCCTATATCTTTTGCAGTCCATTGTCTTCCACCCTCTTCATAAGGAGACCCCTGATATAAAAAGCTCAAGTACTAAGATCAATGCCAACGCCGAATCTTTCATTTCGCCCATTAAGCCACTTATGCTTTCGAAGAAAAAATAAAATCACGTAGGTGTGTGCTTCCTGATTCTTTGTTAAAGATATAATTACGTTATACGATTCATCCTCCAAACTTATGTAAAATATAATGACAAGGAAAATGAGAGTCATGGGGCGATTAAGTAGCAGTACCGTTCTGACGTCCAAGATCTTGGTGTTCGCATCAAATGCCTGTGTACTTATTCCTCTCATGACATGGATCCCAAATTTCAGACCGAAGCTATGTACAAATGCTGCCACTTCAGTGAACCCTGTCCCATCTTTCGACGAAGGCCACCTATCTGGATCAGGCTGCGGCCTCCCCCATTCATCGATTACATCAAATCCATAAGATTTGACATCAGCGCCAGGAACTTTCTTCCTATACCACAGGTAATCCACCACAGCATACTGCATTGGAGAGAAAAAAACAAAGAACTACATTAAAACTCTCTCACACATACAAGTCCAACAACCAACAACCAAGCCTTGTGGTGTTGGCTGCATGAATCCTATGAATGAATGCGAAAAAAAAAAAAAACAAAAAAAAACAAATTCCACCAAACACCTCATATCCCTTACGAAGGAGCTTCTCTTTCATGATTTGGGCACTTTCCAGGAACTCATCCTCCGTAATAACCCAGATAAACGAGTCATACGAGTTCCAACCCCTCGGCGGGGTGCTAGCAAGTTCTTGTGATGAAACCCTGAAATCAGTAAACATTTGCACAAATAGTTTCAAATTAAATTTATCATTGCCATCTGGAAATGTCAAAAACCAAGTAGTAACTGCAGATCACAAATAATTACTGATGAAATTGAGGTTCCACCATAAAACCAATTGGCAATATGAGAAGTAGCCCAAGATCATATAAGCACATAGCAAACCTTGTCTGTGGGACAACTCTCAACAATTACTACCAAAAAAAAGAACAAACTGATAGCATTTATCCAATGCAGATGTTCCCAGTTACATGAAATTTGCAGAAACCCAAAAGACAATTACTTGAGCTGAAAATTCCAAAAGACAAAATCTTTTGGGTTGAAGAATTTCACAAATGCATATACATGATTTATTTTTTTTAACAACGAACCTCGTCTGTACGAGGGGATTTGATAATATATATGAATAAACAAATGGGCAAGTTGCAATTAACAATTCAGAAGTGGAATCTCACAGAAACAGTGAAACAAATTCTGGGTTGTCGAGTAAATGATCATGCTTATAATCAACAGTAAAAAGTGAAGAACTGGAGATGAAATGGTAAAAAGTAAAACTGGCTTTTTTTTCACCTCTGGCTGAGAAGACCGATGAAGAAACAGAGAGAGCTGAAAAGAAACAAGGAGGTGTTCATTGCTAAATGCCGAGGCTGTAATCCAACTCCGACCGCACCAGAATTCAGACGACGGAATCAGACAGCCGGAAATGGAGTTAAGGATGGCAGTGACACGTTACAGGCTTAAACCTTTGTCTTGACGCTGACATTTTATAACAACGTTTTGGTTTGGTCACGTCTGGAAATCACGTAATGTTATTTAGAAAAAAATCTGGTGATTTAAAGAAGAATATTAAGATTTCTTGTTTCTAAATTAATCTTTCGTGCAAAGACGATCATTCGATTCCATCTTTTATTGTTTTAGGATATTTCATAAGTAAATAAAGAAAGTTTTGCTTTGTTCTTGGTCAGTGTCAAGTGCCAACCGACATATATTTCACGCGCCTCTTCATTTTCAAATTCTTCTTGTATAACTAGGCTTAGTAGACAAAATAGTATTGAGGCTGACATAACTTCTCATTTTGACCCCCTAACAATGAAAATTGATAGAAACGGTCATTGAGTTTGTTTGCCGTATATCATTTTAGTCATTCCGTGAAAAATTTGTTAATATCTTTGTTAAGTGAAGGAGTTAGTTTGACAAAAATACTCTTTAAAAGGTGGTTACGTGACCGTTTACGTGACAATTGAACAATAATATTAACAGATTTTTCACAAAATAACCAAAGCAATTTACAACAGACAAACTCACTTCTATCGATTTTCATTGTTATGTACCAAAGTGAAGAGTTATGCCAATCTCAAAGACCACTTTGGCTAAAAAAAACCTTGGTTATATATGTTTAATTGGGATACTTTGATCCAAGTCCAAAAATTTGAGTTGTTATTGGATTTAGTCCAGTTTTCCTATTTTTCGACTTTAATTAAATTTCTTGATTTGAATATTTAATTATGAAAATCTAACCACTTTCATAGAAAACAATTAAAAGAAAATATATGTGTAATCATATATGAATCCTATATCGTAGGTTGACAAAATATATTTAATCTATGACAAAGGTATCTATGAAAATAAATAAAAATTAATCTACCCATCATCCATTAAAATAATTCAAAAAATTTCATCTTTCATACATTTATTAACCTGTGATGGAGTTGAAGAAAAAATTGATAACGAATTAGGAGCAGGAAAAAGGGCAAACAATATTTAATTCTTCTATTAAACCCTAAAATTGGGACAAAGAAAATCATATAAATAAAGGATAATATTTATCACAATTTAATAAAAAGATAATAAAAAACTTTATGTGAATAATCAGGAAATGGACCTAATCCAACTAAGTGGACTAAACCCAATAATGACTCGTAAAATCGGACTTATATTATTGCCCGGGCTTTGCCTTCCATGATGGGGCCTACATACCACAGATATTACAGCATGTGCCACTCCCTTCTCCCCTTTTGCTTGTTTCTTCCCCTTTTGCTTGTAGAAAAAGAAAGAAAAGGAAGGACAAGAAGCAAAACTACACCCAAAAAATGCACCTAACTACAGTGCAGGACAATCAGTGCAACCCCGTGTGGTATAACCGAAAACGAAATTGAGTTGCCTATTACCCCTAAGTACCGTCCCGTCCATACTTCCGATCCTTCGCAGGAACCTCTGACCAATTTTGTCATTGGAAGTTCTCTGGCTAAGTCTGCTCTTTCTGCGGTTATAGTAGCCAATTTACCGAGCAAATTGAAAAACGCTACGTATATTTCTCCTGCAATTGCAGAAATGCAAACAGAATTACAATTTGACAATTGAGAAATATGCAATAGTTACATCGACGATTGAGAAATATGCAAAACCTTTTCTTCCAGTTGCAATCCAAGAGCGGGCAACATTGTTAATGGCCTTAGCTGAACAGGTGATCAACTTGTAAGCTAAAATCATGATTTATACATAATTTCAAAACTCACTGACAGAATCAGTGCACGAAAAGGCACTCACGTTTTAATTTATTACCTTCAAAAGGATCAATTCTTGCACAGAGGCCAGAATAACTATTCACCAAGGTTCCGTTGGGGTTTAACTCCCACATCTGTTAAGATCAATTATGTCATTTCAAAAAGTCACTCAATCACGGGACAATGCATTCCGTAGACCTTGTTTAGATTGGACTCTCAATGGTGTGTGCAAGATATCAATTCTGTATACATTAAATATATGAATCGGGACCGAGGATACCTGGTTCGCATCCCATCTACAAGGTGAAAAGAAACCTCTCTTAACGTCCTTCGAAGTAACCTTTTGTTTAGGAGAAGCATGCAAGCAAAGATCCTTTCCATCACTTGCTAATAAATTGACCTTCCCCTGATATTGATGTTTGTCCGTTATGTCTTCATCTCTATATCAGCAGTGAAGCCAAATTTATCAAATTCCTAACAGCGCAAGTAAACATAATGAAACTGAGAAAAATGATCAGCAAAGCTAAAGAACTATTACATTGTCAAGAGCGAATCTCTCTTGTTTAAGCAAAAAGGTGCCTGATGTTTTCTCCTTGAGTTTTCCGTCCAGCAGATGTGTTCAAGATCTTGGTCAAGAGACTGAGTGGACCAACCAATCGCTTTTGCATCTGCACAGGTAGTCAGACCAAAAGCATGTGTATTTGCAGTTTTTGCATTTGTCAGATGTCTTCTCGATTGCCAGGTGTGAAACTGATCATCATTCTTAACGGCCCTTGCATTCACATTACTGGTAATGTATGAAAACTGTAAATGCAACAAAACAAGATTTTACGTTGCTACCATGAACAATTTTTATTCTTAGAATTATATGAGTTATTTATTCAACATACCTCCCTATTATTTGAGCTAAAAGAATCTATCTCCAGCACGACGTCATTTGTGATGATTCTCATTAATTCATCTGGAAGTTTTCTCAAATCTCCTCCAAACATGAGAGGAGACCTGGCAATAGACCACAAAGTCATCTGTGAAAATAAATGCACAAGGTCAAATTGATTGCTCAGCTAATCGGAAAGGACTTAAAAGACCCACTTGTCCTCATGCAAGTACCTGTGTTCTTTGCTCCCCCAAACCGAGATTAGTCCACCTGTGAGGACCGTGATTTGAACCTAATATTTTCAAAACATAAAACAGAAACTATGAGAACCACACATCAAATATAGAACTCAAATTTAAACATTTCAAACTAATAAGGTGCATTTCAGATTTTCTAGATTTCCAGGAGATAAATAACCCTGCAATGCCTTATAATGATGATTAATTCTAGAACCATCTAGTTTAAGTTGCTCAGCCCAATTGGCATGGATAAAGTTGGTCCTAGATATTGAACTTGATTGTTTTGGCACTCAAATGCGTCACGATGACAACCCATCAGCATGAAAGCATGCACATCAGGCAAGCGTCAATAGAGCTCGGTCATCTATCTAAGAATATTAATAGGAAAATATTCATTGCCATATAAAGGAAATAAAGATGACCTGGATCGCTAAGCCATCCCAATGGGAGCATATCTAAGTCAGGCCATGACTTCCCCAGCAAGCCTTTGGCTCCTATCATATCGGCAGCAGCAAAATCCCTGATACGAAATGTATTGTGTTCAGCACACACGAAAAACAAAGAATATGTGAATTCAATCTGAACGAAACCTTGTACTGAAAAACAAGTCATTCACCTGGTTATATCAAAATGGGCTAGAACATCTCCCCATGAATCCCAATCATCCCCAGTTATACGGTACATGTTGACCATCCCACTTATAGCCTTGGCCATATCAGGTGTTACTCTGGTTCCAGGAGATAGAGAATACAATATAGGACGCTCAAGTTGCTTCAGAATCTGGTAAAGGATGCATTATTTGTTAAGCACCCACTCTACACCACAATACCGCTGAAGATACATGTGTGCGCGTGTGATAGAGAGAGAGAGAGAGGAAAAAGAGGGGGGGGGTGGATGGGAAGCCAGCCTTACCTCTGAAATATAGGTTATTTCAGGTACATCTAAGTCTTCACCAAACACGCAGTCATTTTTCACTGCAAGGGGGTGGGTAAGAGAAGCAACCAATGATAAAGTTAGCAAGAGATAAAGCATGGACTTGACTAATAATATCAGGGGAAGTATCCTGATGACACGACTGATGCAATCTTAACATTGAACCAAACATGGTAATTTTTGTTAATTACCAAAATCAACACCCCATTCAGCATACTGTTTATAGAGTGACCTCAAGAAGGCCTTTCCAGCGCCCAAGTCGGTATTCACACTCATGAAACCATTGTGCATCCATGCGCATGTCCTCTCCTTAATCCCTATATCTTTTGCAGTCCATTTTCTTCCAGCCTCTTTGTAAGCAGTGCCCTGATAAGGAACGAGAATAAAAACTCAAGCATTGAGATCAATTGCTGATACCAAGTCTCTAATTTTCCCCCAGTACACCACTTATGTTTTTGAAGTTAAAAATGAATTACGTAAGTGTGTGCTTTCTGAATCTTTGTTAATGATAAACTACTACAATATTCGATTCATCCTCGAAACTTATGTATGATCACTACAAAAATGTGAGTCTATGTACATTTTCTGAATCTTTGTTGGTGGGATTAAGTAGTATTACCGTGTTGGTGTCCAAGATAAAGGTATTCGCATTTACTGCCTGTGTACTTATTCCTCTCATGACATGAATCCCAAATTTCAAACCGAGGCTATGTACTTTTGCTGCCACTTTAGTGAACCCCTTCCCATCTCTCGACGAAGGCCACCTAACTGGATCAGGTATAGGCCTCCCCCACTCATCAATCACATCAAACCCAAGAGAATCAACATAAGCGCCTGGAACTTTTCTCCTATACCATAGGTAATCCACCACAGCATACTGCATTGAAGTGAAAAAACAAAGATACATAAAAACACTCTCACACATACAAATGAATGCGAAAAAGGAAAAAAGAAAATCGAATTCTTATTGTATTCCAGCAAACACCTCGTATCCATGAGGAAGGAGCTGCTTTGCCATGATTTCGGCATTTGTGGAGAACTCTTCCTCTGAAATAGTCCAGATAAACGAGTCATACGAGTTCCAACCTCTGGGCGGGGTGCTAGCGCGATCTTGTGATGATACCCTGAAATCAGTACACATTTGCAAACACGATTTGCATCACAAAACCAGAAACATTGAGATGATCAAACTAAAACAAATTAGTAACAGAAAATCGCCGATTTGTACCCAAAAAAAAAAAAAATCCTAATAAATAATTAAAACAAAATAGTGATAACATGTATGCATCCAATTAGTTACTTGAAGTATACAGATTAATTTTCTTTTAAATGTTAGCAATTATTTGAGCTCAAAAACCCAAAAGAAGCAATCTTTTGGAGTGAAGAATGCCACAGATGCAAATATTGACAAACAAATGGGCAAGTTGCAATTAACAATTCAGAAGTGGAATCTCACAGAAACACTGAAACAAATCTGGGTTGTCGAGTAAATGATCAACAGCAAAACACAGAGCAAGTGAAGAATTGAAGATGGTGAAATGGTAAAAAGTAAAAGTGGTTTTTTTCTACCTCTGGCTGAAGAGACCGAGTAAGAAACAGAGAAAGCTGAAGAGGAACAAGGAGACATTCATGGCTAAAAGTAAAGGCTGAAGCTTTAACTCAAATCCTGGAAATTCGATTCCGATCAGACCAGGCCGGGATTCGGCAGATGGGGATGGAATCAAACAGCGGGAAATGGAGTTAAGGATGCTTTATCCTGCTCCGTTGTCTTGGGGCTTGGAAATGACGACATGCCATTTAAACAAGAAGAAGAAGAAGATTAAAATGTTTTTATCTTCCGGAATTTTGTTTTCTTGTGCCTCGCTTGGCGTCGACGTGGAAGATATATTGACGTACAAGAACGGATATCATCGGAGGATTGTTGTTGGATTCTTGGGATCTTTCCAAAGAGAATTCGGTGAGGATCATCTCTTTTAATCTTGGTCATCAGCAAGTGCCAAATTCTAAGAAAAAAATTAATTGGGCTCATCAATAGATGAAAAGAAGTTCTCTTCAATAACCGATTTAAAGACTTTTATGCTTGTAATTAAAATAATTTATATTATAACTCAGTATGTAAAGGTAATTTGTGCAAAACAAAAAATCAATTAAATATGAGATCGTTTGATCATTCAACTGTACCAAAAACATATGGATGGATTCGATAAATGAATTGTGAACCTATTATGTATTTAATACAATTGATTGACTAAACAACTTTAATTTTAATTGATTATTTGTTGATATAATATTTATTAGTAGTTATAATATGAACGATTCCAATCATAAGCACGAACTTGTGTGAATTAGTTGCAAACTAAATTAAAGAGAAACTTCTCCTCAGGGACTAGTGTAAACTTTCTAATAATAAAGAGCCAAATTCCGAAAATGAGATTAATTATTGAATGTTTTTTTTTTATTAATGTCATGATCAATTAAACGGTTTAATTAAAACACAAATATGGTTATTGATCGTATTAAATGGGCTGAGGTGATCTTATTTTTTATTTTTTCTCATTTCATAGCACCACTATTTTTTTTTAAGATCTTAGATTTGGATTTAAGCCAAAAAAAAAACAAAATATGCGCCCAAAATGGGTTTTAATAATAACGTCTTGTAACTAGGCACGAATATCTCTGTGTATATAAAAAAATAATAATAATAAAAAAATCTGCATGAATTTAAGTTTTTATTTACATCTTCTATCGAATATGGATAATTTACTTCTGTCATTGAAGAATTTTCCGGCAAATAAAAGAAATAAAATGTCCATATGAAAGCATTTTGCGTCTCCCATAAAAGATCTTAAGTTTGACCTTCGTAAATTACGAGTAGTATAATAAAAAATAGATTAAAAGTACTAAAATAAGCTAAACACCACTAGGCTGCTAGGTGCTACAATTATGGCTCACAAAAATCAGCATGGAATGATTCAAGCAGCAATCACTACCTGAAAAACATCTGTCACATTCCTCTAATAATTTACACAGTTCTGATGATACAAGCAAAAACTATCTGACATTCTTGACACAACCCAAACAAGTTTGATTTTTCCTCAATTTTCTTCATCACATAGAGCAACATTCTTTCAAACCTTTCGGGTACAAGTTCACGATTCCATCTCCCAGGTATACGTTCTCCGAGCTCTTGGAGGAGATGCTTCTCAATAATCGACTGTCAAGTTTGTCAACCATATGTTCTGTTCAAGCTTTACACATGCAAGGAGTTAGAGGGTTCTCCCACAAGTCGTAGTTTGGGAAGGTCGCTTCTGGTAATCCAGTTCGTGTTTCGTGGGTGACTACTACATCGTCTGCAAAGGTGGCCCAGCCCATGTAAGGGTCCCCAAAAGACTTAGACATCAGCCCCTTGTCTGGTTTTATTGATTTTTGACGATGACCCATGTACCGTCGTGCCCCTATGATCAGCTTAGCAAAGTTTCCTCCGTGGGTCATCACGAAAACATCAGACTTCAAGCACACCAGGAAGTCGAGTGCTGCCAAGCTAGTCACATGCTTCCTGAATTTATCCAACTCCGGCTTAGCTGCCAACTCTTCTTTCGTTACCTTTATGAATAGTAAAATGAGCGGATCAAAACAGTGTCCACATACAAATCCACTGATTATTCTCATTCGGAATCTCATTTTCTATAAGATGCTCTAAATAATGGAAAAAGGTATAATCTTTTTGATCTAATTGAAACTTATGAGCCGTCTTCATCAGACAAGTTCAGTCAGTAGAGCTATGGTAAACGAAATTAGAGGTGCATACCAGATTTGGGAACATGTTCCTCAGGGGCGCCATCCTGTTGTGGCCACCATAAACCTGTCCTGAAGCAACATAAATTTGAGTTTCCTTAGGATAGCCCATTGCTCGAAGAATGACAGCCACTTCCCCAGGCTCAAGGGGGCATCGCCCTTCCTTTCGCTTCTGCAGGGCTAGTTGCCATAGATGGGTACCATTCTGCATACCAAAATCACCATCAAAAGAAAAAGAAACACAGCAAGACTGATATTCTTTTAAGATTCTGACTCCATAACGTCAACCTAGATATTTTATTTACCTTGTATCGTCTCGGCCATTCTTTATATCTATATTCTGCCATTAGAGCTTTCTCTTCCCTTGTGCCCACAAAATCACAGAAAGATAAGCCTACCATTCCTTTCTCAAACCTAAGATGAAGGGCCCTGCAAGTGTAGAATTGTTAGTGAAGTTAAGGTACAATTACCAGAAATCTGAATGGATTTTAAGCTCATTTTCATAGTGCCAATGTTACATACATATAAGGATTGGAACCTCCAGTGCGATTTCTCATCCTTGATGCCAACAGATCAGCCATCTCCTCTATCTCGGGAAGAAATTTAAGAGCATGATAATTCACCCTGCACCTTAGCCTGTTGATTTCTTGAGGGACATTGTCATACCTGAAACCGGAGATGTATGATATTGTTAGCTTGTTATACATTGTTGATTTCTAACAGATATAAACGCTTACATTTTTTTAAAGACAAAAGAAACTTTCAGTCCTTTTCTTTCTACAAGAGTGTGTCTTGTGAGCTTTGGACAGCAGACCAGTATAAGAATTCCCAACTTACCCGAGTCGATCAACAAAAGGTTTTAGGGCCATTATCTTCTTCTCCTTAATTCGTGGCAGAACATTGTCTATGTAAAATTGTGCAGGTGCATACTTTGGAATGTTCTTTACTGTTCGTCTAAAGAAAAAAATTCACAAATCAGTGCGAGTTGCAGAGAAAAATCCATACAAATTGGAGGGAAAAGGAGAGGGGGGGGGGGGGGAGAGAGAGAGAGCGCTTAACCTTATACTTGTAAATAGCTCAGCTTTGTCAGTAAACCACTCAGGAATATCACGAACAATTCGTACATCATCCTTCAGGTAATCAATGAAATGGTCAACATCAAAGATATCTTCAAACTTCCTGCAGACATTGTCATACTCAAATCAAATTGCAATAATAAGAGATCCCAAAACAATATCTTATGAAGCAATTTCAAATAGGGATATTTCCAAAAGATCTTTAAAAAGCATGAAAGCAATAAGATTACAGTTTTTCAAGATTTGTAACAGAGACCATTAACATCAAAATGGAATTTTCCTGTTGTTTAATCGCGTATATACTTATATACTGGTTTTACGACTTTACACTATTATGACAGTGTGTATAAAAATAGAGGCAAAATCTCACGTTTGGTCTTTCCAAATCTGGTCCTGCTTCAGCACAGGCAAAATAAGGGTGGCATTCATTATTTTAGCCACAGCTACTGCATTGCATATCTGCATGGAAAAGATATACATTACAGTTCACATACAAAGATAAGGCAGAATCATCCGGCTTTAACTTTCTAAAAGAGTAATGCAAATAAACTTACAGAACCATATCTCAAACTAATAAGCAAATAAGCAATCAGAATAGTGCAAATCTCCACCATTATAATTTATGGAAAACTAATGAAAAGGGTGGAATGATTGCTTTTCATACACCATAGAAAAGTAATGGAAAATACGGGGTTGAAAAAGTAGATGAGTGAACAATTTTGTGTTTGAACAAAGAAATTCAGCCAAGCTACAATGTCATATAAAAGACCAGTCAAGCTCTTATGATGACAACAACAGCAGAGAAAATGTAATGAGCTTAAAACCAATGAAAGAGCGACAAGCTAACACACAAACACAACAAAGCGACTGCATTGCCGCATCAGCAGACAAGCTGTTGCCTTAGTCAGGCATCCATCCAGGTGGACACCAAGCAGGAAAACATAATATGGTTGAAGTTGTACAAGATGAACTATTACAGCTAATTAATTGTGACTAATTGGTAACAGTCTGTGGCCATCACTTAACATTACAACCAATGCTCAGGAGCTCCTGAAAAAACTCTCCATAAAATTCTAAAAATGTTTTCTTCCGTTTTCTCTAAGTTTCTCATTCACTTCATTCTCACAATGTGCAAAAATTAGGAGAAAGAAATTTTCTTGAACAGATAAACGGTATGACGGAGCAAGAACGTACCGCAATTCTTTGCTGATTTAGACCACCTTCAGCGTGAATAAATATGTATCCAGTTGTTTCATTTTCGGGTGGAAGATCTGCACAATGCCAGAAAGATTCTAAATTTAGAACGGTAGAACTAGACATAGTATTAAAGAAGATCACAGATCCAGTGCATCAAGTTAACAACAAAACAAGAGCTCAGCTCACCTGAAATCCCACCAAGGCGGCGCTCGGCACAGGGCTTCCAAGATGTGGTTGCTGAATACGGATTCTCCCACAGCGAAGGCGATTCCTTGACCTAGAAATGTAAATTTAAGTTCAACAATCTCACAATTACATCACAGAAATTCCAATATTGACCAAGCAAACAGCTTTCCCCAACTTACATGAGGGCAGTGAAGAGTAATGCCATCTTTTTTACACAAGTAAGGAGCATTCTGCAACACAAAGCCAAACAAACCAATTCAAAAACATCGAATTGCACAGCTCTAAGCAAGATTATCTTATCCCAATTGCCAAACACCAGAAATCCGAACAGGAAAAAGCACAAACAAGCCATACCACTCGTTTCACGATCGCCAGAATCGAGACCAGGCCGAAGATTGCGACGGCGATGACGATGAAGAGTGAGATCCTGGAGCTGTTGGGGTCGTCGGAAAGGGAGGGGCAGATGGATTGGAAATGGGAGAGGAAGGGACGGTCGCGATCCTTGAAGGGGGGGCGACCGCGGCCGTCGTCGTCGTCTTGGGGCTCGGTGTCGGTGATGAGAGGGGAGGAGTCCTCGTCGCGCTTCATTGGAGAAGAAGTGGCTCGAGCCCCCATCGAGATGGAGTGCCTGAGCTCCGCCATGGCTCGTTTCGGACTGTAAGTCATGTTTCCTTTGAGGTTTTACTGGCTTCTGGTTTGTTAAATGTCGAGTGGGGTAAAGCCAAAGCCGATGTAGCTTATTTTATTTTCAGAGGAAATTGGAGCAATGTGGCTTAATTTTAACCAAATTAGTGTAATGATGTTTTAATTAAAAATCTGTAATTCATGCGTCAAAATATGCATTTATGATCATTTTCGTCAATTCTGTTAGAATTTCCGTCAAAATGAGTCATATGTCACTCATGTGAGGCATCAAGAGCAAATATGAAAAACTAAATAAGAAAAATTGTAATATTAGTCTCACAATTTTAACTTAATTGACACTTTAACTCAACTGGAACAATAATTTCTCAAACTTCATTGTATTTATGGTCATTCCAACATGACTAATTTTGATAGAATTCTGACAGAACTGACGAAAAAGATCATAGTTGCACATTTTAAAAAGTTAAAAAATCAATAGTCATAGATTTTTAATTAAAATTAAATTTGCCGCAATTTTCACTTATTTTTATTTATGGGCAATGTAAATGACATTTTCGGACATTTAGACCAACTCCAGAGATAAGTCTCAAAATTTGCTTTCTGTTCCCGTCGAAAACACGCAGAGACGGAGCCGAGGAGCTCGGCACTCTACAAGCACACCAGTGACCGCCACATGGCGGCCACTCGAGGCCTCCTGTCTTCCTTCCAAAACCCTGCTTTCCCAGCCGCACCCAAATGTCCCATTCCTTCCTCCGCCGCTTTCCATATCAAAGCCTCCACCTTTACGAAGAAGAAGCAGTACAGCAGCAACATCATCAGGTGCGACATCAAGAGCTTCGGCCACCCGCACAACCTGACCATCGAGCGGGACTCTCCGGTTCACGTCTTCCGCGATGCTTCCGAAGCCCAATTGTCAATGGCATCCGATTCGGCAGGGAAGAAGGCGAAGAAGGTCTGCCTTTTCTACTGTTCCGAGACCAAAGCCCTCGCCCAGAACGTCGCCGCCCAGTCGGACTCCATCGTGCTCCGCAGTATCACGTGGAGGTGAGAGCTCCGACTGCAAGCGTGGCAATTGGGCATTTTGCCTCCAAGAATTTAACTTTCGTTTGTGGGATTTGTTTCTGTTGCTTCAATTTTGTAAATTTTGGATTCTTTTAGGAAATTCGACGATGGGTTCCCCAACATTTTCATACCCAATGCTCATGGAATTCGAGGGCATCATGTGGCGTTTCTGGCCTCGTTTAGCTCTCCGTTGGTCATTTTCGAGCAGTTATCTGTGATTTATGCATTGCCCAAGTTGTTCATCTCCTCATTCACTCTGGTGCTTCCATTTTTTCCGACGGGGACTTCAGAGCGTATGGAGGACGAGGGAGATGTCGCCACTGCTTTCACGCTCGCCAGGGCATTGTCGAACATTCCCATTTCGATGGGAGGGCCTACTAGTTTAGTCATCTATGATATCCATGCCTTGCAGGTTTTTCTATACCACATTTAGCATACAAAATTGCCTTCTCTTGGTAATGAGCAATGTGCAATGATTTCTGACCGTGTTGTTTTGATTGTTTGTTGCGTGTTCAGGAGCGGTTTTACTTTGGAGATAATGTCTTACCGTGCTTTGAGAGCGGGATCCCTTTGCTCAAAAATAGGCTTCAGCAGCTCCCTGATTCCGACAATGTAAACTGTGTATCTCCTCCCCATCTGTTGAGTCATAGAAAATCGTAGACGGCGACAAGGAGTAATTATTCAAAACAATTCTTATTTCTGACATTGTTTGATGAATTTCTTCACATTTCAGATATCCATTGCTTTTCCTGATGATGGTGCATGGAAACGATTTCATAAGCAGCTGCATCATTTCCCAACAGTATGTTATGCTTTCCTTTTCCTAATAACAAGGACGATATTCATCTGAAGGCTTATAGTCTTGTGTACAAGGCACAGCTAAACAGTGTTCGTTCAACTAATGTTGTGCCATCTCCTTGGCTGACATTTTCATGGGCCTTACATTTTCTGTGAGACGGCTTGCTTTAATTATGTTTCTCGCCGACTGCCTAACCTTCAAAAACTTGAATGCAGATTGTCTGTGCTAAAGTTCGGGAAGGTGACCAACGAATCGTGCGTATTAAAGAGGGAGATCCTAGAGGACGACATGTTGTGATTGTTGATGATTTGGTTCAATCTGGTGGTACCTTGATCGAATGCCAGGTATCCAGATCCTGAGCAAACTTCTTACTTACTGCCTCGTAAAGAAAGAGTTGTTCGATTTGTTCACAAGTTAATCTGAAATTCCATATTACGTTCTCATCTTGTTTTAGAAAGTTTTAGCCGCCCATGGAGCAGCAAAAATCAGTGCTTACGTAACACACGGGATCTTTCCTAATCGATCATGGGAACGCTTTCAAAGTGATTACGGAGGTATTACATGCTCTACTTGCCACCATATGGTGCTAACTTGTTTGAGACTCTCCAATTACAATTTCTAATTCCCTTGTGCATTCCTTCCTTCTTTTCCCAACCAGGGCACCCCGAGCATGGGCTGACCTACTTCTGGATTACGGACTCGTGTCCACTGACAGTGAAAGATGTGAAGAACAATCCACCATTTGAAGTTCTTAGCCTTGCTGGGTCCATAGCGACTACTCTTCAAATGTAAGAGTAACTTGGAAGCACTGGTTAGAAAGTGCCTTCTCTTTGGTTTTTGTTATGTTTTTGCCCCACCCGTTCTTCCTATGACGGGGTTGAATCATGCATAGAGAACATTAAAGCACTTGAGAATCCGGATGCGGCGAAGAAATTTTCACCTTATGATAGCCAATTTTGGAACTTCTATAACGATAAATTAGTTCAGTCCGTCAGCCATAACGTAGCTCTAGGAATAGAGCAAGAACGAATAACTGTTTATAACGACACAGTGGTTCTAGGCTTCTAGCATACACTTTCTTAAATTATGGATTTTCGTAGTGTAATTCAACGATCAGAACCATTCAGTTTTTAAGCTCTTTCAAGTATTATTCAGGCTAAATTTGCCTAAATCAATATTTTGTTGATCATCTACATTTTCATTTCAACTTTATCTAGAGAATTGTGACTTTATGGTCGTTTTAAATGACGCATTAGTTTTGGATTTGGATGATTTTTTGCAGGATGGCCCATGAATGAAGACCTGAAGACCTAAATATAGACGTCATGCTGGTTTAAATCCATCATGGGATTAGCTTGACCATAACTTGAGAAAGCCACGGGCATCCTTATTATAGAAAGCGTGTATATGCATACATAATACTTATGTCATATATTTATAGGCAAAACAAACAAAAACTTTCGATATTTATTTAATTCTTTGCCTAAAAAGTGCAGACCTGATGTACCTAACAGACTGAACCCATCAGGCGAGCTCCCAAATCTCCACTTCTGCAACTCCAAATTCATACCGCGCAACCACCTCCTACGAGATACCGACGACATGTGTATCACAACTCATGTATAACATATAACATTCGGTTTAAAGTTTCAAGCGGATTCATGATAAGTTGATAACCAAGTGATGAAAGCGAAAAATGAGCACAAGTACCTGTAGTTTGAGCAAAACTAAAACACATCCCTCCTCTGCTCCTCCTTTATCGCAATATCTATGTATTGAAGACTAATTCTGGGCCTCTATCACACTTCGTTAGATACTTTTATGTAATTCAAGAGCTTTTTTAGAGCCTTTCCACTGTCGATTGCCTCTCTGGCTCTATCCAGGGCAGAGGTTATGTCTTCTGCACCATCACATCCAAGTAAGTGATCAATCATTCCAGCATTCAACACTATTCGATCATAAGCTGGTCCCTTTTGACCGCGGAGTGCTGTTAACCCCAACTCTATATTCTTCACTACCTAAACTCGCAGGAAAAGTAATTATTTGTCACAAATTGCTGGCTTGTAGAAAATGAATGCAAAAACCTGTGTGCGCGCACGCACTTGTGTGTGAGTGAGAGAGAGTGCATGCCGCAAGATGGAAAGGGACTCTACCGATCTATCAGTTCTTGGAGTGTCAGTGGGTTCAAAACCATAGTCTACAGCATTAACCTCTAGACTGAAGCTCTGACGTGAAACACCTGCAAACCAAACTTTCAAGAGTCAGTCCCTCTGGTAGGATATTTGATGCAAGAATCTCAACATTTGAGGCAGCTACATAAACAACACAGATTTTTGAAACTAGTGGTTGGGAAAATACAGAAAATAACGTAAGGACTTAAAGAACAAACCATCAACTTCACAAGAGGATGCAAAACTTGTTGAACGAAACCCTGAACAGTAGTTTACAGGAAGTCCTTTTGATGAATGTGCTGAGCGCAATCTTGTTGTCATCGAGAGAGCTCCTTCCTCACCCTTCAGTAATAATAAAGTTAGACAGTAGTAGTTTATTTGAGTTACTCGGTTGATTAAAAAATAGTTGAGCTAGACTTATAAACTCTTATGTCTAAGATTTCAAAAGGGTTGATTAAAAAGTATTAAACACTACTATTTGAAGCACCATCCTCTTAAACTGCATAATAGCAAAGTACCAACCTTCACCACCAAGCCAGCATTGACACCTCTTCTTTTCATAAGCATTAAGAGTGGCTCCTCAAAACCTTCATGATAAAACCCAGCAACAATTGCTTCCTTCCCCCGGGCCTGTTGAGAAAGCAACAGATATTTCATATCTCTGTATGGTGCATCCCAAATTTGTATAACGATGCTGGGGTACTTATCACTTCAATCAATATTTCGATTGGAGGTATTGCATGAGAAAATTATGTTATTTGTTGATGCCTACTAATTTTTCAGAATTTAAAGTAGATAAATGAATTGCATGGTAGGTAAACAAGTATTCTGCATACGTACTATTTTGTGTAAATTCTAAATTTTACGCACAGATTTCTCTGCATAAAAATGCCAGTCGAGGTTTCAATGTAATATTTTATTTTTCAGGGAATAGAAATAATAAACCGTACTAACAAGTTATCAAAAGAAAACATTGATGT